GTACCCAAGCATACGTGAGGTCTACCTCATCTGTAATACCAGCAACGTAGGCATGGTGGCGCCACTGGGCTACAACGGTCTGCTTATCATGAGCTGCACCTACTATGCCTTCAAGACACGGAACGTGCCAGCAAATTTTAACGAGGCTAAATACATTGCCTTTACAATGTACACTACCTGCATCATCTGGTTGGCCTTCGTGCCCATCTACTTTGGCTCCAACTACAAGATCATCACCACGTCCTTCTCTGTCAGCCTGAGTGTAACAGTGGCGCTGGGGTGCATGTTCACCCCCAAGATGTACATTATAATTGCCAAACCAGAGAGGAACGTCCGAAGCGCCTTCACCACATCCGACGTGGTGCGAATGCACGTCGGGGACGGCAAGTCGGCTCAATGCGGAACTAACAGCTTCCTCAACATGTTCCGGCGGAAGAAGCCCGTCTCTGGAAATGCTAAGTGAGTTATCTTCTATGTTGTTTATCTTATCAATTATATGTTGGTTCCTGGGGTGACTGGCTAGACACAAAATGATGAGATGCATAACCACTTAAATGGTGCAGTGAGCTGCCCAAAGACAACATCACTTATTTACAAGTATCATGTCGGTGCTTGAGTTATTTTCCATAATATTTGACTGTTTATACATGTTGTATGAGGTCAAACTCTCCGGCACCCCAGGTTAAGTAAAACCGAGCCAATTCATTGATTTAGATACAGGAAGTAGACACTAGTTTATATGGCACATCCCCCTCCCCCTGAGAGTGAAATATTAAAATGAAATCAAGCTAAACTTAATGGAAAACTCAACTGATGCCATTGATTTGAAGCTAATGGGCTATGCCATGTCAGCGATTATTCAATCACAAATCTCCACAGATTTACCCACATTAAAATTAGATTTCAGACTTGCATATAACTTCTTTGAGCTCCACAGCAGTGACACGAGGACAGGTGTCTAAAAGTAAGGAGCGGGGCAGGAGTATGAGAGTGACCCCGATTTGTTCACATGTTGTCTCTCACCCTGGCTATGCAGCCTTTCTAATCTTCTAACCCGTGAAGCGTTGAGCCTGAACACTGTCTGGCAAATGTGCCGGCATGGGAGGTCATTCAGCTCCTTTCCTGGAGAGCTGCACTGTCATCTGAGGATACATGCTATTTTTATGTGCAACCGAGGGAGACGTTTAAACCCTCACCAGCCTGATAATCATAAAGTGATGATGAAGAATATCACTCAGCTCAGCCAATAGTCTTAAAGATGAATTTCCTACTTTTCCAGTGCATTGAATTATTCTTGATTTTGCTGAGTGAACTCTTTTCTAACATGAGGAATTAAAGGTATCACTGACCTCTGTGTCACTCCTTGGCTGGCCATGACGTTTTTGACACTGCAGCCCTCCACGAACGAGATCTGCCGCCCTGCTGCTTTTTATTTATCCTGACTTAACCTCACATTTAACTTTTCTCAGCATGAAAGCCCCTCCCCTCCCCTTCCCACCTCCCTGACTAATCAAATTAGAGCCAGTGCTGAACTCTGTCGTCTTCAGACACCAACACAAATACTGCAATAAAAGCATGTCTCCCATTTTAACTATAAAAGCTAACTGTAAGACAGGAGGAAGTGAGCTGTGCGGCTCCTAATTCTGTCCTAAGCTAAATGTCTGAAGCAACTGGAGGATCATAATGCCGTCTGCAACACATTATGAATCACTATGTTTGTGAAGTGCCACAGTTGATAAATGCACTGCTCTTTAGACTCCCTAAGCAAAGCTGTTAATGTCAAGACATGTTGTTGTTAAGTATTTTAACATGCATCTGAAATGTTGAAATGCTGCTGCTTTATGTGTCATTTTGCTGCTGTGCAGTTTTTTATGTCTCCACCTCCCGCTTTCCTGTGATAGTAACTTCGGTCTCTATCTCGTTCATAGTTCTAATGGCAAGTCTGTGTCATGGTCTGAATCAGGTGCAAGACACCCTCCGAGGGGGGGGAATGTGTGGCACAGACTGTCTGTGCATGTGAGGAAACAGGAAGCCGGCTTGAATCAGATGGCGGTCATCAGGCCCCTAACTAACACCCCCGACCCCCACAGTTGCGAGCCCTCCACCTGCGACCTTGGGACAGACCCGCATCTCCCCCAAGAACCGCCTGGTGCTAAGCCTCTGTACAACCTGGCAGAGGAGGACGACGAGGGCGACGTGCAGCGCCCCCTCTGGAACCCAACTTGCTCTGGACAGACACAAAGGCTGGAGTCTGATTTAGATAGGCAGGCTTCTTATTTGCCCTCTCACTTGACGAGCTGCACCACGGAGCGCTTGCAGGGGGCTGTGGTGGACACACACAGCTCCAATGTCCCCGCGCTGAATGATCACTCCCCCGCCAACGAGCCTTTGAGCTTGTCACCCTCTCACCTTCCTCTGGCCCCACATGTGGGGGCGTTTGACGAGCAGGGGCCCGAGGACGAGGACCTGGAACTCTTACACAGCTACATTTATAATGCCAAGGGGGAGGAGGAGGACGGGGAGGATGTAACTCACAACAAGCCAACTCTGGAGGATTCCCTTGCACTATCTCCTCCCTCCCCCTTCAGAGACTCGGTGTGTTCGGGGGAGTCCTTCAGCGGCTCCCCTGTCACCGAGTCAATGCTTGGTAGCCCCCCGAGCTCCATCTACACCTCAAACATGCTCCCAGACTTCGCACACAGCTCCTCAACACTGTGAGAGCAAAACAGGCACTCACTCAGTGGCTGTCAGCACAATTATACATCACGCAGACACATATTTCCACACACACACACACACACACACAAACAGATACACGCAACATGATTTACCTTTGAAAAACGTGTATTTTTTGCTCTGTCATTTGCTTGCTAGTATTAATTACTCTGCTTTTTATGAGTTAGGGGTTAAGCCAAACTACAAGTCAAAAACACTAGGAATCATCCATGAGTGCTTACATTTGTGAAGGGCTGTCCGTGCACAAAGCCTTTCTGTGAAACGTTAAACTGAGAACAGTGCCAAAACGAATCAGCTCTCATGCCAAACCTCTGTATGATTTACGCAACACTGGAAATTATAGTAAAAAAAGGATGTAGCTGTGGTTTCCATGGTGACATCACAATCAATTGGTCTATAACGGCAAATGTAAAGCAAGGCCTACTTGTGTTTACAGTACACAACCAGAGAGCAAACTGGCTTTCTAAGGACTGCAGTAGCTCAAGTGCATTTCACGTTCATGTGCGTTGGGGTCGCAGCTGCATCGGAAAACTATTTCCGCTCCGACTTTGTTTTTCTTTCACGAGTTTTCTCTCATCAGACCTCGCTGCAGTTTAAATATCACAAAGAGATAGTTTAACATAAAAAGTGCAGTAAGCTGGTTGAATATAACTTTAATGTGTTGCGAGGTGTGCTCAACGTAACAAAACTGAACTGAGATTCTGCCGCCGACGTGCGCTGTACGATACGTGACATGGATACAATGTGCCAATCGAGAAAAAAACTAATGTTTTCAACCTACATTCCTGCTTTTTGGATTTTTTTTTTACGATGTAGCTGATACAGGTTAGCGTGATTGTAGATGATGGCGATGTTGTTTATTCAGTTTACACTCGATCATAACCCTGAGAACAAGTTTTATGAGCATGGGATGTGATAAAAGTGAGTTTGCTGTGTCATTGTAATGGAAAAACACAGTACTTGTACAAGTTCTCAAAGTTTGTAATACTGTTAAACCATCTCTTGTTTTTTCACACAGGTGGTATGTTTGTAATACTGATAAATGTTTCTATATTTAGAATGTCAACTGAAAAAAAAGTTTATACATTTTGAAACTGTCCTCAGATTCATGTCCAGGAGCAGTGTGTTTGGTTTTTGGGTAACTTTTAAGCTTAACTTGAGTCGACTGTATCCTCTTGAAAATATTCAGTTGTTAAAGTAACCGATGATTAGTTGCTTCTTGTAATGACATTATACATGTTTCGATTTTTTGCTTAAATCTTGCATTATGAGCCTAAGTAGTTTACTTGAGGTTAAGTTTCTTAGTTCTTTATCTATAAGAATGCAAATTATTTCAGAGTACAAGACTATACAGTGCATAGTGCAATTGTATTGTATTTCCAAATGTTTTAAGTCTATTATAGTGTAAGTTGTAAACTGATTTTGACCGATGTAAGAAATATACGAGGGTGCCACCTGCTTAACACTGTCAACTCTAGAATGAAATAGGCCTTTTATGTTTTGGGCAAGCTGAACAATGCTGTAAAATAAAAGGAAAACTATTTATATTAAGAAGACTGATTCCTGCCTGCGATAGCCTGGAAACTGCTGGAGTAGAAAAATCATCATTAGACTTACCACACTTATATAATTATTGGGTTAGATCAGTGATTTGGGCCTGTTTGTATAAAGTTTTCAACTGAAAAAAGAAAATTAAGTTAACTTTTGATCACGTATTGGATTATTGTTATTTTCACTAAGGAGATATTCAGTAATTATTTTTGAAATACTTTCTTTATTCACAGACTCAAACTCATTATTTTGAAAAACTAAGTCACCATTTATGAGTTAGTGATTGTTCTGAATCGTTGAGCCATTATTTTGACAAATGACCTGCCGGATATTGTGTAACAAAGCGGCATACATGAGCCTCCACACGCCACATGATGACATAAGTCTGTAGACGTAGATTTTGAAATGGTGTTACAACCATAAATCACACGTAAAGCTCACTGTGATCTGCAGCAGACATGCACTTACTCAAGCCTCCCTGACATTTCCGGGTCCTGTGACTTATCAGGTGGTTGCCGGGCTGCAGCAGGAGGAGGAGGAGGAGGAGGAGAAGGAGGAGGAGGAGAAAAGTTGGGGGAAGACAAATGTAAACTCTGTTGCATCCACCCCCTCAGTTCCTGCACCGGCCCCTGTCCTCCGCTCCTCCGCCTGCAGGAAGCCTATGAGAGCGAGCCACAGAAAGCAGAAGTTGTGTTTGAGTTTCGTGAGTACGAGTCAGTGTCAGCATGGCCGGGGGCTCGGTGTCTGAGTGCAGGGAGTACCTCTTCAAAGTGCTGGTGATCGGGGAGCTGGGCGTCGGGAAGACCAGCATCATCAAGCGCTACGTGCACCAGCTCTTCTCGCAGCACTACAGGGCCACGATCGGGGTCGACTTCGCCCTGAAAGTCATCAACTGGGACAGCAAGACCCTGGTGCGGCTACAGCTGTGGGACATCGCAGGTAAAGAGGCGGAGGACACGCGTGGGTTCGCGGGATTTGTGCGCGTTGCCAAACAAAACCAGGTGCTGGATGTCAGGGATGGCCGCAGCTCAAAAGCTCCATCACACTCAGTCACTTATGTTGGAAGTTATTTGTTCTTTTCAACCTGTTGGATCCTCGGGCACACACAGTAAAATCAATGATGTGGAGTTTCCAACAAGGGACCGGTTGATCATGTCTGCTTGTTGTCTCTTCCACGTTATGATCATGGCAGCTCATAATTGCCAGAGGAATGTAGGTCACGTTGTAAGAGCTCACCCCCACCCACCCCTCTCAATGAGACTCACCATAATATTCTCAGGGGATCAGACTGTGTTCACAAAGGCCCTCATGTGTCCTTCACACTGTGGTTTCCTTCTTATGTCCCTGTCTGTGTGTGGATACTCCCTGGTTAAACTTGAATGTCTGAAAGGATTCCCCCCCCCCCAAAAAAAAAACATTTCTGTGACTTCTCCTCCGAGCTGCAGAACTTGGCACGCATGCACTCGCACACCAACCTGTGCATTCCAGCAGCTTTAGTAAGCAGGCCCGGAGAAACCTAAGCAGTGTAAATAGAAGTTCCACACACATGCGGGCGGCCTCGTTCAAACTCTCACTGTCTGTTTGTCATCTCCGGGTATCAAAATAAATATTGCACTGTTTAAAGGAGGAGGTGGGTGGGGGGGGTTTGAGAATGACATGTGTGAGAGGGGAAGTGAGCAAAGATGAGAAGCAGAGAGAGCAACGGTAGAGGCAGGCTCACTGCAGTTCAATCAGCAGAAAAGAGGGTGTGATGTGGGTGTGATGTGGGTGTGATGTTGGTGGGTGGGGAGTTTCTGTGATTTCCAGGTAGCCTCCATCTTTTAATGTTTTATTGAGTTATTTGACAAAAAAAACATCTGACATTAAGTCTTGTAAAATAGCTCGCTCACACAAACAAGAAATCACAAGGTTAAATATTTGGATGTATGTATTTTTTTATTAGCTCTAAAGATTGTGTCTTTCTTTAGGTGGAAACTTTGGACTTTACGTTACTGTAAAAAACTCTCTATGGTTGTTTTGTCAATCATGAGTTTGACCCGGTGAGTTAATTATTCTCTGAGAAGATGTCGTTCAGAGAAACTATTGTGGGTAAAGGGTTCTCATGTGAAGACTTTATGGATTCAGATTCTTCAGTGTGGAGCTGAGTTTCCAGCACTGGGTCCATTTTAGATTTGAATATAGATCATTTTTTAGCTCTCACGTAACAAGATCATGGTTTTATATATATGTAGGCCTATGTATATATTTAATATGTTTATTCCCAAACTAGACTTAATTCAGTTCTTTACAATGACGATATGATATGTCTCACACAAACAAACATAAGGCAGCCGTTTGTAGGACGGACTGTGCAAGCGCGGTATATGTGTCCTAATTCAGAGACCACATCCTTCTGAGTGCTTTTGAAGACACAAGAACAGGGTCTTTTCAGGCCAACCTATCCATTCACTGCCAGAATGAACAGGGAAAAAATGTGGGCGAACCAAACATGGTAATGTTTTAAGATGGAGTTCTAATTTTTTTTTTTATTCTATTGACAGAAGAAATGATTGTCTCTGCCTCTGGACATGTTCTATTCTTACTTTAGAACACGGATGTGCAGGTCCATCTTCTCTCTCAATCAAACAAACCTCATATGCTGAGACAGATCAGGACAGATGGTTAGAAGACTGCTGTTTTTATATTTATTCCCTCGCTTACAGCAGTGACAGAAAGGGGGCGGACAGTTGGATGTGAGTTGGGGTGTGTGTGTGTGTGTGTGGGGGGGGTGTCGCCAGAACAACTTGCATGTCTGTCACAGACTGATTGGCAGTGAGGGCTACGTTCCCCCGCCATCACTCAGTGAGCAGGGGCATTTGTGACTGAGCGCCGGGGAGGGCCGTCTGCCTGTCACAGCCAGACAGCCCTCGCTCAGAGGACCTGCGAGGGTAAATAAAACACTGCCGCACTTCCGCACTTAGATGGACTGATATCATTCATAGAGACAAGGGAACACGCTTGCACATATTGGGTGAACAGAGCCGTTTACATGCGCTCGCTCAGACCACGAAGATAGTTTGAGGTTAGATGACACAGATACAAAAACCTCATTTTTCACACCTACACCAAGGCCTGGCCTGAGGACACACGCAGCCTCGAATAAGCAATGAAAGGTGTGGGTGTGAAAGAGTGAAAGCTGGAGGTATATTTGCCAAGTCATTAAGAGCAGCCATTAAGCCATTTAATCGTCCAGGAAAGGAGGGGGAATTATCTTCTCTGCAACACGGAGAGCAACTTTAGAGATTCGTTGTCTTTTTACCAACCTTACTAATGATTACAGCCTGGGAGGAATGATAGTAATCAGGGGACTGTACAAGATTGAGGCACCATGGAAGTCAGTGTGAAGCTTGTGGCTCTCCCACCCCCTTTTCTCCCAGAATTGCTACTCTCCTGTGGATTCGTCTCAGCCAGTGGACAGGATGATTACCACCATGACACAGAGTAAAAATGGCAGCACCTTATAGGACCAAACATTCCTGCAGGAGCAGGAGGTTGCACATTATGGGATGTAAGCAGTGGCTCTCATCACAGTGGTAACCTTCAGTCCAGACAGAAAAACCTTGAACTCTTCTCCTGCTTCTCTCAAACAAAACTGTTTCCCAACGGGATCCAAAATGATCTGTTAACAGAAGAATCCTGAGCTTTCAACCTGGTAGTAGGGACCTGCCAAGAGGTCCAGGGTCAATCTGAGGGGGGGGCTCAAGGTGTTTAAAGGAACAATACAAACAAATTGTATTGGTGTTACTTTTGAATTGTATTTAGGGATGGGTTTTTTTTTTACCATTTTCAATTTCTAGAAATCGATAAAGTTGTATAAATGTAAAATAAAAAAGGATCCAAATAATGATTTCTATCATCAATCAATGATCTTATTAAATTGGAGCAGTGAGGTTAACATATATGATTTGTAGGGTTTATAAAATGGCCTCAAACCCAAAGATAATTTCACCATCATTTGAGAATAAGACAAACAAGAAAACAGGCCATGTTTTTTGCTTGAAAACAACAAATTATCAAATCATGAATTTATCAATTAATTGTTTCAGCTCTGTCATGGGCACTGCTGAGAGAAACCTAAACACTGCCAAACAAATCAGTGTGATGAACGCACACGATGCCACGACTGAAGAACTGAAACTGCAACATAACCAGCAGATAGCAGAAAACACAATGTACAGGTTAGTGACAGAGTAAAATAAAAAACATTAGGTCTCCGAGAGAGGTGTTGGGCCACCACGATGCCTTCTGATCAACTCCACTGATCCTCCGCTTTGTTTTGAAGAATCTGGATTTACTTCTTCACTTATTTAATTTGCTACTGATTTGTATACACTGTATGATTAGTGGTTAAATTGACTGTTTCCTGTTCTTCTTGTAACAGTGGATTTCCCAGATCTATTTTTATACACGAACTCTCCAAAATGTCCAGACCCAACTTTCCAGAGATTGCTTTTCACATGTGAAGAACACAACAGGAGACTTTCCGTGTTATATCCTCAACTCTCCGGGTAAAGCATAGTGTCAGTACTAAAAGCTCTCGAATCTTGTGGTCTTTCCGTGTCGCCATAGGTTTCTTCTACATGTAGGGGACTTCTTTTTCATCCTGAGATATTTATTATTCTTCAAACACGCCCACATTTTCTTGATATACTCTCACATGGGCTCACATGGACATTCCCTGGACATTTGACTTGAGGGGGGGGCTGTCCAGAGCAGCTGACCTGGACATCTGTGTGCTCACATATAACTCCTCAGGGTAATTTCAAGAGAATGTCAGAACATTAGCTTTAGTAATTAAATGGTAAACACAGAGTATCCTGGTGGGGTCCAACAGCCGTGTGTAATAATTCTTCTTAATATTCCACAAATATTATCATTTTGAGCTTAAATTCTCCGACCCTGTGCCGAGGCTTTACGTTGCTCAGCCCCCACAAACCCTCCATTTGAAAGTGTGGGGGGGGGGCAGGGTAATACCACTTAGAGGTTGAGGATTTTCCCTCAATTCAGACTCTGTTCGGAGCCGTAGTAAGCTGTAAGTCACTTCTCACATGCTGCTCAGAGAAATCCGAACGTGCCAGTCATGTGGTCCTCAGTCTCTCTCGTGCTGGAGTCTACCTTAACGACCGAACCCTGTGCTGCTCTTTGTTATTCTAATGTTGGCGGGGGGCGAGTGGGGAAGTTTCTCAGGCACTTCCCCCCCCCGACAACAGACGGGAGGCTGCTGCTGCTGCTGCCTTGTCTGGCTTGGACAGTTTCTATGGTAACCCACCCACAGGATAGCAATATGTACGACCGTAGAGGAAACTGGGGTTGCTAGGGCTATGGATAATGATGAGACTTTGCTTTCTGTCTGTTTCTCCCACACAGCAAACAGAGATGATACGGTGGCTGCAGCTAAACCATTTCTTTTTCATCTGCTGGTTCCATAACTGAAGGTTTCTCATGTTCGTAACCGCAGAGCCTAATTGTACTTGAGGTCATGCACCGGTATTCATCAGCGCAGTGGACCCAACTGAAATATCTTTGAAATTCTACACTAGCTCACTGTCTCTCTTTCCGGACTGACTCACACTCCGTTAGTTTGGCCGTTGCCTCATGTTGAGCACATGTCTTTGTTCCCTCCTGCAGTCTCATGCTCCTCTGTGGTATTCACTGGGTAAATACTCCATTGTTCATAGAGCTCATTCCATTCCTGCATTTTACACTGATTGGGTTAGCAGTGTATGACACACATTGACACATGCTTATAGAATAATTTTTTCTGCTGTATTCAGAAAGAGACGTCTTCTTGGGTGACGGTGACAGCATTAAAAAGAACATTATCTTTTGAGAAACAAGGATTAAGAACCAAGATACAGCAGAAGAATAGAAAACCATTACAATGATCACTATCAACTTTATTGACAACTGTCTCTGAACTGTAGGAATTATAATGTTGCCATGGCGACATATCATTCCCCAGGAAACAGGAAGCTATTTTTTAAGGTTGCTTGGCATGCTTGAAAACTCACCATGTTTGGCACACACTTCAGAGCACACACTTCAGAAGGCCTAGAAGGTGGAAGTTCATTACTTGGCCTCTGTGTGGTAAGATGCCTCGCAAGCACCCCCCTTTAAATTTCAATGACATCGCCGAGATGTTTTGAAAAAGTCTGTCGGGTCCACAAACTAAATCCAACAACAGGAAGTCCACAATTTAGAATTTAGTGTAACATTTCTTGGAAAATTTTGTCTACTCATCCTTGCCAAAATACACAAATTGCCTAAATTTTTATCAGCTTATTCTTACAGTCTTCGTCCATGTGTTTAAGATGCTGCTTGCAGGTTTATTTCACATTACTGTGTTTACTGAAGTGCTCGTGTTTTAACAATATGATACAAACCAATGAAAATGAATAATTAATGAAGCGATAACTCGATCAACTGAAAATTACGCTTTTCTAACAAACTTCTTAAATGTGATATTTTGCTCCTTTTCACAGTTTTATATTATTGTAAATTGAATTGCTGTTGGTTAAATAATAAACTCTGGAAAACTGTGAATCACACACACACACACAATCTCAAATCTTGATGGAAAAGCAGCAGAAAGAATAATAATCTTATATAATCTGCCCCTTTTTCCCAAGACATTAATTAACAAAGCAAATAATTCACTAGGACTCGGTTTAGTAAAGACAGGAGAATGATTTTCCAGGAGTTATAGCACTTGAGAGTTCTGGCACCATTGGATTTGCTGTCATTTAATGTGAGTGACTTCTGTGTGAATCCTCAGCATGTAATCGATACCCCAATTAACACATTACCCCCTACAACACTCACGTGTGCACTTGTGCCGCTGCAATCACTTCGGTGACATCGATTGATATGATCACACATACAGATCACACATACAGTACAACCAGCGTCACCTGTGGTTCTAGCTTTCTTTCTGAAACTGACCTGCAGTGATTGAGCCTCTGCGAGTAAAGACCTGCTGCAGCACCCTGAAGCTGCACCACCACTGCTGCACAAACAGCTGTTCACTTGTTTATTCGCCTGTGAACGTGAGAATCAGTCTTAATTGCCGGGGACCTGAGCTAACTGTTGTCTTGATTGACAAAACCACTTCCGTTGATGAGTCCCAGTCGCTGCAGCTACAGAGCCCTGGCCTTTTTTTTTTTAGCATTGATCGCATCTCATGTCCAAACAGCCAAATTCAACACTGCACTTCCTTGGGCACTTAAAAATTTGTAGGTTTTTGAGATATGCGTTCCTAATACAGACAGAAGGAGCCAGAGATTCTGAACATATTCACGTTTTCCTCAGTATTGTCCCTTTGTTACACAGTTATGTTAGAAGCAGGTAACCTTTAAATAGAATAAGTCTAAGAATCTTCTCTTAAAATTGTGGAGCCAGTCATTTAATTTATACTTTTTCCTCCACTCCACTGGATGTATGAGCACCACAAGGGCTGGAAATGAAAGAGCCTTATTTCAGTCTATCGGCCCTTTATCTCATTGTGTCGTGTCTCTGGTGGATTTACCTGGGGTTATCTCTGCTAAAATTAGACTCTCAATTATGAGCAATTACTGTCAGGCCTGTGGGCCCCACAGTGTATTCGCTCTCCTGCTCACGCCGGCACTCTACCACGCCACTCCTGCGTGGTCGGGTAAGTACCTACAGTAAAGTGAAAGTAGGGAGGCTGCACTCACAGTTCCTCAAACCCTTTCCTGGTTCATGTTGTATTTTGTAAGTTGACTCTGGTGGAGTTTAACTGTGTAATGATTACACTCACCCTTTAGACGCTTCAATTGGAGCGGGGCAGTAAAAATATGTGCTAAATCTGTCAAAAGCTACTGAACCTCTAGATATCAGAAACCTGATATATAATAGCAGAGACTGGAACCAAAGTAAATTAAGGCATTAGCTGAAAACTAGTGTAAATCTGCCCAAACGTCTGTGGATGCTGTTGCAGGTGCGTTTACGTCAGCAAACTTAACTCACATGAACATACCTCAGTAACTGAATTAACCTATTTAACCACATGAAGCTAAAAACAGGAACCATGCGCTTATTCAACACGATGTCTGTGAAACTATTTCAACCTGAGGAAAAAACACTTCTGTCATCAAAAAATAGACCATAATCCTCCATCTAATGTTTAATATAAATGTGTTTTTGTGGTTTTCTGTCTAAAATATATATAGTATATGTGTCATTTTTGTAAGCTGCTGACACGAAGATGATTTTTGTCTTTGGAACATTCTCCACAACTGTCTGTTTTCATTTTACATTCGCAACAGAAGAGTGCCTGAGTCACAGATTATCATCCCAGCGACAGCCTTCTCATCCCGCACTCGGTTCCTCTGGCTTCAGGCAGCGTTGACACACCTAACTGTCGAGGCATGCAGGGAATGAGTGAGCATCACAGGGCCCATATTTTTCAGTAAAAAAATAACCTAATAATCTTTGGTTGCATTCGAGGTAACTAAATAATCACGGCGGACATGCGACGTGTGGTCAACCCATAAGACGGTGTTGTCCTGCTGATCACTGCTCTGCTAAACCACTGTTCTCCAATGATCCTCACACATTGTGTGACTTGACGTGATCAGGCTTTAGGGCATGTCTGAGTGATGTTCCTGGAATTATTGTCTCACTTCAAGACTCTTATTTCCTCTTTGATTTTAAATGTGATACTGAAAGCATCAACATGTCCATGGAAATTTCAATTGGTTATGATTATGTAACTTCTCCATAGTTACAAATGAAAACACAATAGCACCTCAAATACAAAGAAATACAACAAGCAGTTCCAAAATAAACACTGCAAATCGTCACTGTTGTGTGGCAACTGAAGTCTCTTCCCTGGCTGATAAACCTTTGAGGAGTTGATATGATCCGACTAAATCAGGAGATCAATTTGAGGAATAAAACCAAAAAGTGGTTTTATTGTGTTAAAGAAGAATCCTTCTAAGATTGATGGAGACCCCATCTCTCTCTGGTAATTCCCCTCAGATCGTCGAAGGAAACGACTTCAGAGAATGGGCTTATTATCATGGCAGATTATTTCGGCCATTGAGCGGAATAGCCCCATGGCCAATAAAGGAAAGTAGGTTGAATAGGAGCCATCACTGTCCTCATGATTATTTTTGGCCACATAAAGAACAGAAAATGAGAATGAAGTATTGAACGTCTAAATTCAATCTACTGCAACCAAGCAGATATACACATTTAGTTTGGACTTTGAGACCGTTTTGGTGATTTGACTCAGATTTTGAACCATAATCTACTTTGATGGATTCATCACAACCACATAATTAAACAAAACATAATTCACTAACCCAAAGCTTTGTCACTTACCTTACGAGTGCTTCTCTTCCTGTGTCCGCAGGTCAGGAACGATTTGGGAACATGACGCGGGTGTACTACAAAGAGGCCGTGGGGGCGTTCGTGGTTTTCGACGTGACGCGGGGCTCCACCTTTGAAGCCGTGTCCAAGTGGAAGCACGACCTGGACAGCAAGGTGAAGCTGGCTAACGGCAACCCCATCCCCTCGGTGCTGCTCGCCAATAAATGTGACCAGAAGAAGGAGAGCTCCAACAACACGACGCTAATGGACAATTTCTGCAAAGAGACTGGATTTCTGGGCTGGTTTGAAACATCTGCTAAGGTGAGATAACAATACACAGGAGAAAAAAATATAAATAACAGACATGAAACAGACCCATGTGATTTTAATACATTACTCTAAAGTCTGACAAAAGACACAACCAATAAATAAGAAAGTAATAAATACTTTAGATAATGTTTCCCCAGTACCTTTTTTATGTTTATGTGTTGATTCTACATTTTAAACCAGCGATCATCAGCACAACATTACCACAGTTGTGCTTGTGGAAAATCGGACATAGTGAGAGCTTTGAAGTCCACATAGTGGCGTCGTAAGGAGCCACCAGACTTCAATTGTGAGGATATTTTTTGTCATTTTACTGAATGGCTTCTTTGTTCCTCGTGGAAAACAGGAAATATTCAGAGGTTCACACGTGGCCCTATCTGAATGGTGTAGTGAAACTGTGGTGATTGTGAAACGGAAACATGTTGTAATGTTTTTTTTCATGCTTTGAAACTGATTCAATTGTGGTTTTAATGCAAAAAATGATAAAATAACGAAATGGAGTGCACCAAAGTGAAATGACTGAATGACAGCTGGGATTTCGTGAAATGAAATTTATGTGAAGCATGTTTTTTTTTGTGTTTTTTTTGTTATCGTCCTGCTGTCTCGGCCGTTCATGCATAACATTAACGGACGTTTATCTTCCCGACCAGTGAGAAAGATCTGTCAGACAGCTGGTGTGATATGGTATCACATGACGTTGATTGATGTTGTAGCCCAGAGCTGCGAGGGTTGGAGGGGCGGGGCTCCGAGAGATAATGTGCCGCAATGTTTTTCCTCAACTTAGGTCATGGTGTCACAGGATTGGTGATGCCGCGTTTGTGTGTTTACACTGTGCGGAGGTTCGATGTTCGATCTGTCGCTCGTTTCATTTGTGGTTCAGTTTGAGTTTGTACATTTAATTAAATCTAAATTAGCTTAAAGCATCGGAAGAAGCGGTAATGTATTAATATATAATATAGTCGTGTCCAGAACGTTTCCTGTCAATGTTGAAGTGTGTCATTATTATTAGTAGTATTATTGATCATTAATATTATTGGTCATACATCAGGAGCATGTCTGAAAACAGCTGTAGTGGTGGAAGTAATAAGAAAGCTTAACAAATACCTTGAAAACTTACAGCTGTACCTCCTTCCTTTCTACACTTGTGTGCTGTAAAGCTCTCTTCTACTTCCTGTCAGAATGATCCGCAGGTAACTGTGGGAGGACGCAGGTTTGGCATCTGCTTGTGTCAGCTCACACTCATAAATTACAACCTTTGAATGCAGCAGTTTTACCTGGTGAGGGTTTGAAATCCTCATCTCTCCAACTATGAGACTCCAGAACTTGTTTCCCCTTCATGGTGCTGTCGTTCTAGGGATTGTTTACAGATGCTTGGAAACACACACTTGGAAATGCACATGCTCGTGTTTATTGCTTCCAAGTTGAAGATTGTTGAAGGTTAGCCAGCCAGAGTTAACTTTATTTGCTCATAACCTTAGGCTCTGCAGCTGTGTCACGTGCTGTGTCATGTGAAGTGTGTGAGTGTTGTGTGCAAAGTCTTTCTGCTTGTTTCCTTTCTTTGAGTGCAGCAACATCATATTACAGTTTTGTGTGAACCCACAAGAACACGTGATTGTAATTCTGTTTCTGAGCAGTGCACAATGTTTGAAGGGACAAAACACAAAAATCATGAATGTGAATTCTAAACAATCTAAGGGAGATGACATGCAGGTATTGAGGGGTGGTTATTTTAAAACATCTTATTTAAGAGGAAACTCTTGTTCTGATTGGTTCACAAGTCTTGAATGAATCAAGGGGGTTGAAACGTGACACAGACGGTGCTCATGATAATCATGGGGTTGTTATTCCCATGCACCAGCAGTTAATCAAGATTTGAGGCAGCAGTGGCCTGAAGATTAGAGAAGAGAGCTTGTGACCAGAAAGTCAGCGGTTCAATACGCAGACTGACAGGGTTAAATCTGGGTGGGAAAAACAGCACTTGCCCCTCCCTCATCCACACTACTTTGGTTCCTTTGAGCAAGGTTCTTAACCCCTGAGTGCTCGGTAGCCATCAGGTCAGACTGTGGTTGTACTCGGCTGCTTCCTGGTGAATGTGGTCAGGGTTCACAGCCCTAAGTGAACAGAGCTTTTTAAAAATGCTGTCGTTATTTATAGGAGCAGTTTAATTCCTTTCTTAAATAATAAGGTTTTAGGTTTGGTTCTTTAGTTCCTTCCTCATCTGTTTGCCTTTAACCAAGGCCAGGCCTTTGTTAGCGCAGAAGAATATTCATATTCATTATTTGCTCAACCCAAGGGATGAAAGCTTTTGGCAACAGTATGAAGGACAAAAGCAGATGCAGTTTTTTTTACCTCGTCTTGGCTCTGGAAAACGTCTCTGGTTCTCTTCAGACAATAACATGCAACGTGGGTGATCTGATCTCAAGTGGACGGTTCGTCAGCTCACACCTTAGAATTCATCTCCACATGTGTCGGTCCTCTATCTGTGTTCGCTCATATTGTTACCTGTTTAGGACCTTTTCCACTAATAAACAGTCCTTGTCAGGACTTGTCGACCTCACAGGGACCAAATTCCAGTCCTAATGAGACATAACATGATTTCTGTGGTCCTGGTTAGGTTTAGGGGTAAGATGTGAATCATGTGTAGTTCACGGGTAGGCGTGAATTGGTCGTGGTTTGGCTGAGGTTAGGTTAAAAACGTACCCTTCTGATGAGTGATACAGGGGCACAGACACTAAAGGTTGTGGTTAAGCTGCCCACAATAAATGGAAGTCAGTACAAAGTCCTCGTAGTGATAGCTGTGCAAACCTGTGATGCAAGTGTGTGTGTGTGTGGAAGGTCAAAGAGGGTTTGAATGGATCAATGCATCACGCACAGCTCTACAATGAAATTAAGATTAAAATAATATTAAATCAATATTTGGCGTTGGTCAGTGTTGATATCATGAGAAAAGAGTCGCCACTCGCTCCTCCGGTAGCCCATGTGACACAATGACGTACATGCTGCAGAAGAAAGTTAAGGTCATACGTGGCCCGAACCAATGTGAGGTGATCCAATCTCAGTGCGTCATGGATACGTTAGACAAATGTTAATACCAAGTCTGAACAAGTCTGAACAGGCTGCCTCATATAAAGGGGTTTAGTGGCAGTTCTGAAAAGAGGAACTACAGCGTCTATAAAACCCTGTGATGCCTCCTATTAAACCCACTGTCGTTTCCTACAAGCGTTGACAGGCAAACAGGAACAAGGATGGGGGGGGAACTAACGTCTGCACTGTCACTAAGTATTTTATCACCTCTCTGACACACTGTTGTGACCTTTTCGCAGGACAACATCAACGTGGACGAGGCAGCGCGCTTCCTGGTAGAGAACATCTTGGCCAACGACAAAGGTTTGCCGTACGAGGAGAGCAACGGTGACCGGATCAAACTGGACCAGGAGACTGTGGCTGCTGAGAGCAAGTCGGGCTGCTGCTAACACTCGATCCACTCGCACCACCTCCCTTCGGCAGGGTACAGTGCCCTTGCCCTTCCCCGCGGCTCTCGGCCCTCGACTGCAGCCTCTCACAGGAATATGAATTTTTGGGTCCTCAAAGCTCCGGGTAGTTCTCCTCCCTGCAACGCTGCACATCCAAGTTTCTGTCCACATCTCCCCCTAAAGGCCATAAACAGAAGCCCAGTTTTATCTGTTGCCTTCACCGTGCTGTTTCCCTCTTCCCCCACCACGTCTCCAAACCACAGGGGTTTTTGATTATTGTGTTTATCTCGTCACATATTCTCCTGACTGTGTATTATAACGTCAACTATGAACTCTACTCAACCTTCCACACTTGAACCCTTCAACTCCTGCCATTGCCCTACAGCCAGTGAAGGATTGTACGACACCTGTGAAGGGGTGGAAAACTACGCACAACACTGAGAAACACAAAAACATCCTGTAGCCCCTTTGGTCCATTTCCTCCCAGCGTCTCTCACTACTAAAACACTTTCAGTCTTTCATCAGTTAACATGGATGTTGCTGCCCCTCGAGAATCATCTTACAGCACACTCATGTTTGTGTGAAAAGCATCACAGCTTAGTGTTACTGTAGCATTCGTCATTGTTGTTGTGAATTGTTGTCTTTATGGCGTATTTTCTCTCAAATTATGTGCTATTATACACTTTTGTTTTCCCACGTTTTTAATATCACGGTTGGTCGCACTTTTCATTTTTCACTCAAACACTGACAGATACAGTATTTCAGAAAAAAAAACCTCTAACGACACTGAGAAATCTTTATTTGATTGTCAACCAGTAAAAAAAAAAATGTAGATCTGATTTACAGTATGTGTTTTTTGTGCTGAGTCGTGAGATTGAAAAAAATCCAACAGAGAACGATGCTCTCTTGTACATATGGAAGGTAATCTGTTAAAAAGTGTTCGGATAAAATATGAAGGATTTTTTTTAACATGGAGATGAAATAAAGTTTACATGTGAAAAAATACATAAAATCTACACAGCAAAGAAGAATAAACATTTTAACAGATTTGTGTTGTGTTGTAGTAATGAGCCTGTCTAATCACATGTTTATCTAGTTAATAAAATGTGTTTATCCTATGTATTTATATAAGCAGTAACAAACTATGTGGATGAGTAAATGATTCCTGAACCATATATTATACCTAAATCTCAGTATTTGGCTCGAATACAGTATAAACATTTTGTTTCCCTGTGTGGATTTTACATCTTATTTTCCCAAGCAGATGTTTCAGATTATAAAAGTATAATAGTTTTTACTGGCACGCAAAACATCAAGTCAGTTTAGCTGGGATTATTCTAATATTAACACATTTCTTATAGGCATTATGAACACTAATGCCTGCTGCTGCTAATTGCAGGTTCTTGGAACTTGGATTTAAAATGGCAGTGAAATTGGTATGGCAGAATTTCTGCACCAACACGTATGGATGAGAAATGTTAGAGTACATGGTACAGAGTGTATTTGATATATCGATTGCCTATATCATTTAACAGTTTCATACTACTGAACACACATCATACACACTCTGTTGGCAAAGTCGTCAGGGGTAATGTAAGGATTCAGTATCTCACCTAAAGACTCTTCAGAATGAAGACATCAATTGATAAACAGCCCTAAATCTTTTCTAACCTAATATAAAGCACAGATTAATGACTAATAGCCAAATGAGTTTAACTTCCACAACTTCAGAAGTCTAGATTCTACATTCTTGTACATTGTATAATGAAAAGTGTCCATTGGTAAAGTTGATCAGTGTGCATGTACACAAAAAGAACCCTATAGCTGTATTGTTAAATGTTCCTGGAAGAAACTCTCAGCACAAAGAACAATGGATAAAACTGTATGTGTGAAAATTACAACTCCTACAGTGTGTGTGTGTGTGTGTGTGTGTGTGTGTGTTAGAGAGAGAGGGACAGAGAGGGGGATCATTTGACTCCTCTCAAGAATGTGTGTGATAGTCATCAGACATTATGCTCTTAACACTACCGCTGCTTGTGCTCTTCCACACACCTAATTGTCAGCAGAGCAGAAACCACGCAGTGGAGGCATGCCAGCTGTAGTGTGTGTGTGTGTGTGTGTGTGTGTGTGTGTGTGTGTGTGTGCAAGCCTCACAGCAAACTCTCAGTCAGGGCTGAACCTGGAATGCACATCATGTCACTGAAGCGATTCACCACGTATGCATCTTCAAGAGTTTAAACCTTGATAGCGTATATGATGATAGTGTATTTCTGTGTTTGTCTGTGACTGCTGCTTCAATCCTGTGATTCCATGAGCCACGTTCACATCACATGGTGTCAATACAGTGCAGCGCAACACTGTGGCTGCAATGAAATCAGAGGCACGGTTTTGATTTACATCTTCAGCACATTTTTAAATGCGACATCCAAATACAAATCTGGATCTAGTGAATTTAATTGTGATGTCATATGGGGCCTGTTGGGCCTTGGTTACCACTCTATGTACTATTAAGACCAAGTGCTTTGTTTAAATGTGGCCCGATGATATATTTGTATTATTATTATACATTAATTGACCTTTCTGTAAAATATATATCAATCCAAAGGAGAATCTGCCCATCCCTCACCATGGCAACACGTGACGACTCAGCCCCAGGACAACTCCCCTAGACGCGGAGGCTCCGTCGCTAGGCAACGCGTAAACTTTGACAAGCGGAGTCACCTGTAAACCAAACGCACCTCCGGGAGAAGGGAGGCGACTGTGACTTCTTCGTGTGTTCAGGAGCTCACAACATCAAGAGCCATGTCCAAGACTCAGTCGAGGAAGAAGGAGTCCTCCCTCAGCAAAGCGTCTTTAACCGACCGGCACACGGCGTGAGTTCAAAGCTAACGTCAGCAATCGGAGCTAATTGAGAGAATCAGTGGTTAGCATTAGCGTTAGCCTAGTGTGCCTTCAAAGTTAAGACTTGCTAACCTCGGCAGGAAGAGGACACCACACAGCAACATGAGTTCAGTTTGAGAGAGAGACCAAGAGATGTTCTGGAAGTACTCTCTCTCTCTCTGCTAGCCTCCAGGCTAATCACGCAGCTAAATGTTGACAGAAGAGTAAAGAGAGTGAATTTGTGTGTGTCGTGGTTTCAGAGCCGGGTCCCTGGTCGCCACCTCCTCAGAGAGCCTGGGAGATGTGTGGAGGTGCAGGTTCCCCGTGTGGCCCGAGTGGAGCGATGCGGAGGTCAACAAGGAGAAGTGGGACTCCAGTAAAGGAGCTGAGGATGGAAAGAGCAGCAAGAGTGTCACTGCTGTAAATCTGCTGCAGAAATCAAATTCACCATCCCCCCCTCACCCCTACTTTCACTTCCTAGTTTTGACCCTATGTCTTTTCTTTGTTGGTTTAAATTCACATTTTATCTGCTTTTGTCTGCAGCCATTTTTTGAAGATCCCGAGGGAAAGATTTCCCTGCCTCCATCCCTGAAAGTTCACTGCTGGAAACGGCCCACAGAGTTTATTGTGGACAAGGTAACCTTCACGCTGCTATCAAAGTTATATGGTTTTTAATGGAACATGCTAAATCTCTGCATGTGCTGATTGGCAACGCTGAGCCACAGCGAGTTGACAGTTACAGTTGCAGGGGCTCTGAATCATGTCAAGGTAATAACAATAAACATGGTGCAGTTGTACTGTGTCTCATGCAGTTAAACACATTTTAGGATTAAAATTATTTCATGCCAGTTGACAGAAAATAGATTTATTTTACTTTTAATGGATTATATAATTAGCTCTGCTAAGGAGGTCATGTTTTTACCCCTGCAGGTTTATTTGTTCTTCTTAAACATTGCAAGACAGTTAATTTTCCGAGGGAATAATGCATGGACCTTGAATTGAATGCACTCTATGAAATATAATGACACTTAGTATGCATACATCCTCCATGGCCCAACAGTCCCCCGATGAAACCACATTTAAATTCACTAGATTCACATTTTATTTGCACCAAATTGCACTCACTCATATATATATCAGTCACCTATACATGCCTGATTTTTAAATAATCAAGATCCATAAATTATTATTGAAATCCACACAATCTTGCATTGTTAAAGAGTGTGAAAAATAGATTTGCCTCCCGATCTGGAGCCGCACCAAAGTTAAAGGGGTCATGGGTCATGTCCTACCCCTTCACAAAATGTTAATGGATATTGGTTGTGTAGTTTTTGGGTTATGTTGCCAATAGGATAAATAGACGCTATGATCTTGTATCGACTTGAAGATTGAACAGATTCATAAAATAACCGATTTTACGGTTGCAACTTTTAGATATATCAACTAAATGCATTTTCCTGCCACATAGTGTGAAATGTAGTTAAAGAAATCTGCTCTTTAGTCACCTCCTGTCAAGTTTTAATTGCATCACTCCACTTTTCTGTTACCCCTCTCTCATTGCAGTATTTAGCAATTAGTGGAAGCTTCCTGCTTTTTGAATTAGTCCTTGCCAGGTCACACGCTGCTTTTTCACTCAGTATGTGAAAAGCATTTTATTAATTTCATACAAGATGAACACGGGGCTAATCACAAAAGCAATCATCATCTGTGCAAGAGCAGGCAACAGCTCCTCTGTGATACTTCCTCTAAAACTGACTTAATCATTCTGTATTTCCAAACCTGGTCCTTCTATTTAAACAGGTGACATGTGACGTGTGACAGGCAATACTTGTTTTTGATTCTGATTTATACAGATGCTGCAACATTTTCTAAAATACAAGGATGTGCTCTCTTTTAGCCTCCCACCGTTGTTGAAAATCGAACAACATTTGACCTCCTCTCCACCAATGATCATCTGATTTGCAGTGAGGTTAGTTTTCAACTTTCCTACTTCTCTAATAAAGATCTCACTGATCCATCGAGCATCAGTAGTGTAATTCAGATGTCAGACTGGGTGACTTTTGACTGACAGGGTGATGGAGTGCCTTATTGATCAAGTGAATGATAGATGAGATAATTGATGTTTCGGCCAATAGATTTAAAGATCGGTTTGGAGTTATTAGACCCATGATTATTTTTCTTTCCCTTCTCCCCTCTATTTCGGTCAAGCTGATGAGGTGGATCATCAGTGAAATCTGTATTGTTTGGACGTTGTGTCGCAACACATCTGCAGAAGAGGACTGTTGGAAACCTTGGGAGCACATCTACTCACTGTGTAAGGTGGTGAAAGGTCATGTGCCACTTTACAACAACTATGGGAAATACTTGGTCAAGCTCCACTGGATGGTAAGACAGACACGGATACATGCATATAATAGAGCCCAACAGAATATTTCTATATTCTCCATTTACTTGTATTTGTGTTTTCTTTTTCTTTATAACAATTCATAATGCAATGTGTAGTTTAACTGGAGAATATAAACCACATAAGGGTTTGCTAATTACATTTCGGGATTGGGAATCATCTGCCCATCTACTGGAATGTTTTTTTTAACCCAAACATTAGTATCATCATCAGCTTTCACCACACACACCCATTCACACACAGTCATTCACACACAGTCTAAAGAGAAAATGAAAAAATCTGGTAAAAAAACAAAACATCTTACACCCTCGTAGAGGAAGCTGTTGTGTCACAATGCCTCTTTGTTAATGACGCTTCTGTTCTGATTCGAGGCAACGGATCTCATCAAATTGCATTGTATTGTTCGGCAGACCCCTCAGGATGCAGCTGATCGCAGCGGAATGGTGGGGGGCAGGAATGAGAAAGCTTTATCTAGTCAGAGCTCAAATCAATCAGTCTCACTGCTGTGTCAAATGTGGCCGGGCTCCATCCATTTCCTGATGAATAGATATGGCTTAACAGGAGTTAGCAGCTTCATGGAGAGTGTGGCTCGAGTTGGATATTGATGTCCGGTCAGTCTATGAGAGCAGGCTCAACCCAGGGAGGCCTTTACACATCACAGTGACATTTATATCACTTATTAGGTTCTAAACAAAGGTCATCATTCCTCTGAGATAAAGCTTGAAGTGTCTGGCCTGTGAGTTTCTGGATGTGTGTTGTTTGCCACTCTGGGTAGAGGACACTACATCTTTGTGACATCTCAGGGAAAGTCTTCCCTGAGTAAAAATCTGGGACAGTGAAAAAGGCATAGCTAAAACTGATGGTGTTCTGTAACACTGTGACTCTTGCCTTGACAAACAAGCATGACACGGTTGTAGGCAGCAGTTCCCGTGCCAACCAGAGCACACTAACAGATGGTTGTTGAGATGCAGTAAGCACCCAGCCCCCAACCCTTGCTCCCGTTTCCTCGCCTGTTTCGCTCATATAGGCTTCTCCATTTCTCCCCTGCCAGTCTCACCCTTTATTACTCGTCACCTATCTTTTTTTTTGTTACCATTGCCTCCTTTACGCCGCTGTGAATATCCATCCCATCCTCGTTTTGTCACCCTGTGTCTACCATCCTACAACTGTCTATCTGTCTCTGCATTCCTCCCTTTCTTCCTTTCACCTCCAACTTGCCCTTTCGCGCTTTATTTTATCCCATCTGCGAACACATCAAGCTCTTCCTCGGGGCGATGGTTTGACAAGAATGTGGAAGAGGAGGAAAGAAATGGAGTGTGGCGTATATAGGATTGCATTGCTTGTGTCAGTGCTCTTACAGATAACAGGTGGAAGGAACACCTGTGAACAGTCAGTCAGATTATCACCTGCTTTTGCTTCTATTTCTCCCATCAGCGTGAAACTCCCCCAGACGGCCGGTAGACAAACCACACCGCAGACAGTAACAAGCTCTGACACCACACAAGATGCAAAGCTGCAAGCACAAGAACGCTAATGCTTGGTGAAATATGGAATATAAATAAGAGCCATAGATCAGAGATTTTGTGGTGATGACTTAAACATCAGATCCACTTGTGGTGATTATTGTGATGATGTGAGTCACATCCGACACATGTAGGCTGCTGGTAATTTGTTCCTCTTATTACCTTTCAAATGCAGTTTTCTTCCCATCACAACAAACTCTGTTTCTGTCCAAAACATTTAAGTCATTTCAGTATTTATTGCAAATGATTATTGAATTATATTTGGCAGAACAGGGAGCTCACATGGATTAGAGGAGAATTCTGCTGGGAGAAATCATTTCCAATATCATTTCAGTCCATATTCGGAGAAGCCTGTTGACATTAGTTCCTAGTGGAATCAACGGTCCCTAAAGCTCAGCACAGAAGAAGGAGTTTAGGGGCTGGAAGGATCTGCCTCAACAGGCAGTGTAGCTATGAAGGTTTCAGCAGAATAAAAGTGAAAAGAATTTCGAGGACAGTTGGTACACTTGAATGAATGTGACTGGACGTTACCAGTCAGCTGATGGCTGGATGATAAAGAGCGTGGATAAAACAACTGATAGCTGATCAGCTGATGTGTTACTCCAGTGGCATAACTAAATGGTTCATTCTTGCCTTAGAGGCTCAGTTTTGCAAGTGGAATGTACAGCAGCATAAATTTCAATCTATGAATGCACGTAGCACAAAGCTGTATTGCCTTTATTTCATGATATTACAAGTATGCTGACAGAAAAATGCTTCTTTATAAGCTGAATAAATTTTTGGGTGGATTTCAAGGTGTTAACATGGACAATTTGGAAACACAACTATCCATATGTGGCCTTCAAGGCTATATTAAAAACAATAGAGGTTGCCTCTTTGTTTTACTTAAGGGACAATAAGGCATCGATCAATCAGTTCTCAAGATGCTAAACTTTAACATCAAGTATTGTGGTAAATTGAATAAAATTTGAAAACTAATTTAAATCTTTAAATCTATTTGAGCCTTACACATTGTTTTACCACATCTTCACTCACCATGTCCTCCCTCCTTACTTCCAGGGTACTTGGAGAAAGATAACAGTTGATGACTGCATGCCATTTGATGAAGAAAACAACCTCCTCCTCCCTGCCTCCACCTGTCAGTCAGAGCTGTGGCCGATGCTGCTGGCCAAGGCTCTCATTAAAGTGGCCAACACAAAGTCAGTTACTCTCCATTCTAACACAAACTCTGTAGGCATTTCAACACTGCTGCAAATAGTTGGGAAACAGTTGCTGATAGTCTTTAAGTAAGAGGGTTTAAGAGCATGCTTAACCTAAATCCAAGTATATGCTCACTAAAGCCTCCTAATAACTGTAAAAAATTCATTGCACATCATGCATAGTAGCCTTTTGTGCTAAATCTGTAAACCAAACCTGCTTAAGTAAAGTAGTATACATGGTTTTCAAGTTTCAAATTCCTGGTTTTAATAGATTTTTGTTGGGCCTTGCTTGATCAAGTACATTAATAATGTAGCTTTTTGCTGACTTGGCCAATCTTTGGTCAGACCTAATCTCTGCCTTGGGCCGAGTTGAATTTGGTGACCGACAGCCAGTGTGCATGTCTGTGATGGGGCAACATGGCGTGTGTAAAGGTGGCTGTTCCAGTGTCAGTAGAGAGGCAAAGCATAAATGTTTCATTCGGGACAGGAAACAAAGGAGCCTCTCTCCTGATGAATCATTTATGAGCCATTGTGAAAGTTCTTTGCACTGAACTAGGACCCAAACTTTGTCCAGGTGTTTGCTGCAGCTCTTCAGAGAAGCACTAGTCCTTTATAAGAGTGCCAAATTCGGCACCTCCTTCACATTGATGCTAAGCAGCGTTTTTTATAGTAGACATGGACTGTGACATTACAGATAAAGTTTTATTGATTTCACTTCCCCGGGTGTCATGACTGTGGATTGTACAGGTTCACCACAGGATCCCAAGAGGACCAATTAGAGCAGCTGCAGCCAGGTGGCTTTAACTGAAAATTGGATGTGAAGGATACACACTTACACTCCTCAAACTCAGTTATAGAGATAACTGAGATTCCCCACATAGTGCAAAATTTAAAATGTAGAACATCATGTAATGTAATGATGTACATTCAGTAAAAAAAATCAGATTTGCACACATAATCCTTCATGATTGTTGACGCTAAGCATATTATCGATAAACCATGTTAAAGCTTAATGTCCTCAAAAGTGTGAAATGGGAGCAGTTTCAGTGCTGCTATGGGTGGATTGAATTGAGTGTCTAGTTTGTTGTATTTTACTCTTTTTTTCGTTGTAATCATTTTCTCATGCTTGGTTTTACAGCGTAGTGTCAGAGGTCTCTGGGGAGATGGGCGAGTTCACCTTCATCAACACACTCACCGGCTGGATCCCAGAAATCAGGCCTTTACAGTAAGACCCTCTCCTCAATCTTGTTTATCTTTAGTTATTTGTCCTAGAAATTATACATGTGTCCCTCTTCATTGGATTTTTTATAGGGTGTGCACCTTTTAATTTCTCCTGAGTGGGTGCTATAGTTTCACATTAAAGGCTGTTGCACTGAACTGTCTCACAATCTGACAAGGTAAATATTTTTCCCTCTCAAGTGTACCTTTTTGGAAAGTACTCTGCAGCAAAAAGTGTATTTGTCTGCAGCAGTATGGGAAATGACTAAAATGGAAACAAGGAGATATATAATAAAGGGGGAGGAGAGACCGTGTGCAGTGGAGAATCTCAGCTTGTCAGTGATGGAACTTTAATGGGGCAACAGTGTTTTGCAGTGGAAACGCTGAATGTTATTCTCTGTAGCTCAGCAGGTTAGCTGCTGTTAGTGAGTCGCCTGGGGAATCTCTCAACACGTACAGGCATTCAGCATGACTGTGTTTGTGTGACACATGGGTATGCAGTACTACGTGCACATAACACACCCCCAGATGGTTTTATTTACATCATCTACTACCTCAATACAAAAAAAACTATTCTAGCTCTGCTCTCTGCTCATGATTTGGTTTGTAGATGTATATTTTTGTTCTATTATTGTAATAGTTATTGCTAATGGCAGCCGGTTGGTATAAAAAATCAGGGAAACTTTAATATTCTGGCACACAGCAGCTATTATTGTGCATTGGGCTGCATTAGCCACTGTTTGTACTATTCACTAACTCCTGAGTTAACAAAATGCAAGACCTATTTTATGGGGTTGTGTAATTTTGGAGCTCAACCCACCCTTGGAGGCTGCTGGGAAAAAAAGGGAAGTACATTGTGTAATTCAGATTTTAACTGGTGGGCAGCAGAAATAGCTGATGGGCTCTGCAGACTCTAACCACAGTGGGACTTGCACGTGTCCTCACATGACACGTCAGACTAAAATCAGGAAATTGTTTGAAATGAAAGCTCAAGTGGTGTCCTTCAAATAGGGTTACATGACTCTCTACCTCGCACCAAGCTGATCACACATAAAGACGATGCTCACTGTGTCTGATGCACTGATGTAAGATTGTAGCCTCATATTACCACTGTCAGTCTGAACGTGCTGAAATTGCCTATATCCAGCAGAATAAGGAGAAAAGGAGGAAACTGTCACATACCATTTTTACTTCAGTGGTTTCATTTTTATGGGATGTGTTCAAGAAGATTGTACCATGTGCTTTATTTTCAAGAGAGGGAGAAATGCTGATGTGAATTCTGTAGCACATTGTATTGGAAATGAAGAGACATTTCAGGAACAGGGACAATCACTGCAATGGGATTTAGACAGAATGCAGAAACAGTGCTCTTCATCTAATACAAGAGCTGTCGTGGTGTTACAAGTGCTGTATGCTAAACAATAGACATGAGAGCTTAGCTGCTCATACAACAGTTCATTATTTTTATCGGACAAATTAGACTTCGTAACAATCCAGATAGATCCACATAAAGATGCCGTGACTTACAATTTCACAAATCTTTGTGAAATGTAATAAGTGCAGCCTGCAATCATCTTCTCTTTAACCTCCTCTCAGATCTTTTTACCTTGGAAGAATCTGGGATTTCTTACGGGAGACCATTCCAGTATTTACACTCCCAAATGAGAGTTTGCCAGAAGAGAAGAAGCCTCAGGCTGCAGATCCAGCTTCAGGGAGAGATTCCAGCCTGAACGACACCAGGAGCCAGCTTCCAGAGCGAGAAAAGAGTAAAGGCCCAAACTGTGGCACAGTCAGACACCCACCCACACACACACACGCACCTGCAAACATGCATCTCAATTACACACTCTACTTCCACATGTAATTGAGGGAGTCAATCAAACCAATCATCCATTAGTTCGTGATCATCGGTGCGCACAGAATACTTGTATTGCTTAGTGTATCAATTCATCATACACACATTAACATACATGTACATTCTGTGTATAAGTGTGAGTATATTTTGATTTGTTTTGTGTGTATTTGCAGCCTACTATATATTTGTATATATGTATGTGGATGTACAGTGTACAATCTCTCTGCATCCATAATTCAAGTAGTATAGAGCGTGACAATGAATATTTCATTGTCCCACAGAAACTCGCACTTATCAATGATTGCATTTTGTTACAGCAGTAATATCTCTTAAACCACTACAACATTCAAAGTATTGCTGTGGTGATTTACTTGAGTACAGGAAACATTCCAGGCCTTCAGTCTCCATCACGTCACGCTGAAAAAAAAATACCTCAATCTCTGAACTGTACCATATTCAGGCAGCACTCTGCTGCCTCTTTCCTGTCATTTCAAGCATCACTTCCTGTTTTCCCAAGCTCATGTATTATGAAGCGCAGGAAGGGTTAATGCGTGTATGGTGGACTATAAATAAACCAGCAGAGGGAGCAGTGGCAGGGTGAATTATTTGGTGTTCCCGCAGGGCAGAAGAGCCTCCAGAGGTAAGTATGGTTATCTGATGGAGGCAGGATTGAAGCATGGAAGTAGATGCTTTATTGAAGTTGTAAAATTAAAATGAGTTGAAATAGAGATTTGAATTAACATCCTCATGTTTATCAAACACAACAGAGAACAGATTGTATTTAATCTAGTTCAAAGTGAGGCAAATGTTTGTCTTTTTGAATAATACATTTATATTATATTTCAGGTTTTAACATATTCAAAAATACATGTTTCTCTCCTTCCCCCAGCTGCTCCTTCTGACACTCTCTTGGTCACACCTTTAATCCCATGTTTAAAGTAAATACACATGCACAAAGTAGTAGTAGTCACAAAGCATTTATCTTTTTGGGAAATGCATCGCATGTTTCTTACACACCATACCTTCAAACACAAATCAGTAACACATTCTCTCTCACTCTCACTATTGCATCTTTTTGAAATGCATATATTGAGATGCATAAATCCCAATGCAGTGTGAAAACCGCTTCTCTCTTCAATTCTTAATGTGTAGCCTTTATATTAGTATGGCAGTGCTCCTGTCTCTCTTCGCCGTGGTCCCTCAAATTGATTTTCCGTGTCTCCTGGCCCATGTGTTCCTCATGCCACATACTCTATGATGCACTATAGGGGGCAGGGCCATCCATATATAACCTAGATATTCTCTTGTTGCCTCATTCATACCTGAAAAGGCCAGTCGTGCTTTCAAATCCTAAGGGATTCACTTGAAATTGATTATATGGTTGTTGTTTAATCAGACTGTCCCTCGGTCATACATTTGTGCCCATGTAGCAGTGTGTTTGCACAGTTTTCTTATAGGGTTTACTTATCTGTGCTTTTGTTAGTAAGATAACCTGATAAAATACATGTCTTCTTTTAATGTGTTTCTCAGGTACCCCTGAGGTTGTGGTGTGTGTCAGCTACAACACTTTTCAGCCACATCACAGTTCCCTTGGGTTTGGACAAATGGTTTGTCTTCTCACTATTCCTCCGATCTGGAACACCACACTTGCTCTTTCACTACACCGTGTTGTGACACATTTGCTTCCATGAAAACTGTAGATTGCAGTTAGGCTTTCAATACAGATTTGGAAGCAGTACAGAGATCCACATATTATGCAACTGCTGCATAGTTTTGCATAAGCATTTGAAAGAGATAGATTTTTGTGTTAACCTGGATGTCCCCAAATAAATAATAACACCGACTATTGTTTTAATTATTTAGTTTTATTGAATTAACTATGATTTCCTCATAGAAGTCCTAAAGAAATTTGAGTTTCAATACCTTTTTAAAATATCAACTCAGACACCTCTGTTATTTAGCACAGCAATGTGAAAATGCACTGAAGACCCTTGGTGGCAGTGGGTGGTGGAGTTGAAACATAACAGTGCTTGTGATCTGGGGGCATGTTATGTTCTATTTGGATGCCTCGCCTCAACAGGCTTCACTTGTTTCATTATTTACACCCATGCTAAACCTAATTGGTGGACAGTTTCCAGGATTTTCCTCTGTTGGAGGTGTTACATGACCTCTACACTGATTTAGTATCAGAATCCTCTTTTGTCATCTGAGCTGATTCACGTGTGGAGTTGTTCACAGGTGATAGTGAATCTCAGTGTAGGGGAACAGCTTTCAACATTTAGCTCTACATTCATTTCTGTGTATTTGGATCTTTCACAGGCTAATTCCTCCGAGGTCCTGCGTCAGTACAGTCTCTCCTTGCTGTACAGCCACATCGCCCTGCTGACTAGAACCCGTTCGTGCCAGCTGGAGGCGCCACCCAAACCGCTACCTGTACCTCGATGGAAATCCATCCGCCCGCGCAAGGAGTTTTTGTTCACTGATGAACCGCGGAGTGAGTGAGAGAGGAAATAACAAAACTGTTTGGAGAAAAAGAGGTGATGAAGGGGAAACCAGGAGGAGGATGCAGGGGAGGATATCAAACACATAGAAAAGCACAAATTATGTGATGGAGTGTAGGTGAATCTCATAAATAAACATGACTAGAAAGGAATGTGAGAGTATATGCAGGAGATTTTGGAGTCTACAGTTCAGAGGGCATACAGTACCACATGAAAAAATGAAAATAGGTGGAGGATAGGTACGTTTCTGTTCCGTAAATAGCTGCTGTTTCCTGCATATCTGACATCAGCTGATCTCTTGAGCGAAAAACTGAAAATGCAGTTAAAAGAGTTGGATTGTGAAAAAGCAGCCCTGGCATGATGCATGATCTTTTTTTTTTCCTTTCTTTTTTTGCAGAGCCTCCTTTGTCAAAACCAGAGCAGTTCATTGAGGTTGCCAGTCCTTTTCTTACCTGCCGGTTGAAGAGCGGCATTGGCTCGATCCCAAAGCTGTGCGTACACCGAGATGATCTGCAACTGAGAAATTAAACGAGATGTTATCATTTCTGCTTTTCTGTTCTATAATGTTTAGCCATTAGGTAACCTGTGCTCTGACCCCATCTGTGGAGGAAGGATTGCAAGAAAACAGCTTCTCCTTTTTCTACCTTCACCAGGGCTATGACATGCGTCACAGCTCAAAGCGTTGTTATGGCAGAAATGGTGTTCTGGTGTCATTTGACGTCTGGGATATGGCACACATGACTAATCTGTAAACGATATAGTGTATTGCTTCTAAATATGTTGCCATGAGATGAAGTGCGTGTATGGCATGATGACGATCATACAGTATGATGCGTGTACTGTATGTGCACACGGCATGAATCTGTGTCTTTGTGTTTCAGAGAGGCCAAACAGGGTGCTCAGAGGATGCATTCCCATGGATCCCCTCTGGTGCCCATTGCTGAGAGAGAGGGGACTGACTGCCGAGACGGCCTTGAGCCTGATGCAGCTGAACACAAAGCTAACTCACCAAGCAACAGTGGCAACATAAAGGTACGAAGAATCGCTGTCTGCTGGACATGAATTCATTTATTCCTCTACAACGTTTTACAGAGAATTTTCTTGTTTAACAAAGGACCGTTAATTAATTTTGGTTACCCCTAGCCATTTATTTGAGTATCAGTGAAGTCCATAGCACCACCATTTGTCCAAAAAACAAGATAGTAGAACCTGTCTGCAAATTTTTGTTGCCTCTTCTTTTTATTTTCATGCTTAATTTTTTTCCCTCCCAGTTCATACGCTCCTCTTTCTACCCTGCAAATGTGCAGTTGAAAGCTCATCACAGTAGCTCTGTGTGTCACTGAAAACAAGGCTGCCATCCCCCAGTCTCAAAGTCACTTTTGTTGTCTCCCAGCCAGGCCACCACTGACCAGGGGCACATCTGCACTAAAGAGAGAGCCAGTGACGGAAGGGAGATGGGGTGGGGTGGGGATCAGAGCAGCAGTGGATAGACTCAGAGACGAAGATAGAAACAAAGACAGAGGAAATAAAGCGAGGGGTCAAATGTACTGAATAAGAAAAGAGGGGGACTAAAAAAATGGAAAGAAAGGGACTGTTGGACAGGGAGAGATGAAAGCGGAGCAAGAAACTGAGATATGGGAGAAAGAGAATCTCTGGTGTGTGGTGGCAGTGAACGGGGCGCGTGGGTTTCATATAGGGAGAGGTCGTGTACTGCACTGATGAAAAAAGAAGTGCAATTAGATGGTGAGCCATCAGTGTCTGCATCTCCTGGGGGGTTCATTATTACACTTCACTCCTAGCATACAGAGAAAAAATGAGTTCATATTAATCGCCCTCTTGTGTAACTGTGACCAGTTATAGAGCAGCTAGGCTAGGGCAACATAGCCAAGTTAATTTGATGTGTCGCTTGATGTGTGTGCACGTGCACTTGTGTGGATTGGTTTGTGTATGTCTTACGTAGGCCACATTTAAACCGCACATGTGTTACCACTCTGCGAGCATGTGGTGCGTCATATGCCGAGGGGACTGTACATCAAATGAGAAGGAGTCTTTGCTGTCTTGACCCCCTCCCTCCGTTTCTGTCAGCGCTGGACAACAGACTCAACCTCTGTGCCTCGCTCGGAGAAATGAAAAAGGTGGCGTCACATGATCTCGCTAATACCCTCAGTGGTCAACTCACTCAACTGTAATGTGGGTTAAAGCACTGGATCCTGCAGTAAGTGTGCAGCTTGAACCTCTAACATGCTTGGAATGTAGTTAATCACTAAAGCCCCTCAAATGGTTTGTTCACTTATGCCAGATAAACACATTTCACAGGCCTAGTTCGTTAGCTGTCAATTGTGGACGGACACAAAGATTTTTTTTTTCATGCTGAAAATGTTATTACCCTTTATGTGAAAATGTGAAACATGGAGAATCTTTGGTGTGCAATGGCTTAACTCTGGCTGGGTAAAAAAAAAAAGCAGCTGCTGCTTTAATTCAATGAAGGCTGGTTACACTGAAAATACTTTGAATTAAAGAGAACTGGCTTGTTTGCAGACAGGAGAAAATAACAGGAACTCCAAACTCTGGTTATCCAACAAGTTGGGATATAAAATATAATGGTGAAAATTTAAGAACAATGACGTAGATTAAACAGTCAAACAGACGAGTGAAGGAAATACACAGATTTAAATACTCTACTGAGGGAACTAATCAGGGCAGACAATCAGAAAAGTGGGGAAAAACAAAGACAACATGTAAAATATAAGACGCACAAGGAATGTAATGCTTAGAGTAAAACAGGAAATTGAAACATGGAGTTCAGGCATAAATTCACTCAAGGGGCAGATTGGTGACAGCCCCATAAAAAGTGGGATTAATGAAATGTGGCCTCTCAAAACATGACTGTGATTTGATCTCAGACAAAAAAAGTCCTCCTCTGAAAGTCTTGTGTGTAAGAGGGATCCGTCTGTGTCTTCTCACTGTAGGCAGGTAAAACTAGCAATGGAATAGAATAGCATGCTGTGGGTGGACATGACATACCATGCCTTGGAGCTTAGTGCAAAGTTTTCCGCACTCTGGTGAACACACACAGGCACGTTTTGTGTTGCAGGAAAGTGTCTATACTGGGGGAGAGGAGGTCAAGTGTGCCTCCCAATCACAGTGCCTCTTCCCGTCTGGGTCTCTGGGTACTTAGTCAAATAAGTGGTGACTCACGTATACACACAGACTCACTCTGACTCATCTGAGAGTCTTGGCAGGGGTTTACTTTGAAGTTACACGGCATAAAGCCATGATTTTTATTCAGAGCTGAGTAAACTGTTGGACATTCGTCAGGATTTTTCCTTGAGGGAGCATTGTTCAACTTCAAGAAGGGGGCCAAATAATGTTCAGGTAGTTGTTGCAGGTTCTCCTCAAAGCAGCAGTAATCAAGACCACATCCCGTCCAGCCTTACTTTGACAGAACTATCTGGTATTTGAGGGATTTGATAATGAGCTATATTTCTTTATTGTGTCGGGCAGACAAGCATGAAATCAGAGCTGTTGAGTAATTCCCCCTCTAAGAGAAACAACGTGCTAAAAACAAAATAACTCCTCATCTGTCACTGACGGTGGAAGTGAATCAGAGCTGGTGATCCCTGGTGGTGGTTTTAGCACAGGAGGAGGAGCAGCCCCTGTCACATTAAACCGTGTCTCGTGTCCTGTGGTGTTCGGCGAGAATGGCGCAACACCACAGCTGGTGTGGAATCACTAGAGGGTGGAGGGATATCTCTGGCAGTGTTTCTCAGTATCTCACTTTTTATGCCTCTCTCTCTATCTCTCTCTTTCTCTCTGTCCCTCTAGGTTATTGCAGAGGACAGGAAGAAGGACGATGATGACATCTCTCGTGGTAAAAGCTGTTCCTTTGCAGAGCGTGGCCCTTCATTCATTTTTAAAGCAATCTGTACCATATCTTTACACAAGATCGATGTAGCCCAGGTCAAATATTTGCCTGCCAGAATTGGCTTATGCACATTGAACGTAGTGAAGTTCTGGATGATCGTTGACTTAAACAGCATCTGTGCAGCGTAGTCCAATTATTTTGATTAGAAGAATTTGCCTCTCTCCTCCACTCCCTCCATCTCTCTCTCTCCATGACTCCATCGGTTGGCCAAGACGCTTTGAAGAAGATGGGACTGAAATTATGCGTTATGACAACCGGCCAATTCCCTGCCTTCTCTCTGCCCCCGTTTAGTTGCTTAGTAACACCTGCAGTTTGAGTGAGCAGACCACCATTGCTCAGCAGCAGAGACGCTGGCCCTCACTGCCTCAGCTTTCTGATCAGACTCTCACTTTGAGTCGAGCTTGGGGGCAGAGCAAATGTTTATGTGTGTGTGTGTGTGTGTGTTTTGGGTGAAGTGTGTGTCTGTGTGCATATGTCTATGACTTTGCTCTGCATGCATTGATATGGTGGGAGTCGGTGAGTGGGAGTATGGATGTGCATGTGTGCTTACACTATGCCATTATGTGGGAGTGTGGCCAATTCTACTCACTGTGTTTAAGATAATGATTTGAGTCTAGGATAACTTGCTATGAGTCACAAGAGGAAAGGCATTTTGTTACTTGCAGCATTTTGAGATAGAGGATTTCACTCGCAATTTCAACATCAATTTTCTATTGAAAAGCACCAATCAATTCACATTCTCCTCAGCTTGTTAAGTACATGTTTTTTTCCATTGAGTTTCTGCAGATTTGTATTAGCAGTGCTGAATAATTTGAAATAAACTACTCTTTAATTTTAATCCAACTCTAGATCGACCCACAACTGCAAGAGAGGAGCCTGTAACTGAAAAAACATCAGTTCTTGTCAAACCCCTCTTACAGAAGATCTGGATGGACCTTGATGACTTTGCTAAATGCTTTCAGTGAGACACACAGACACAAATCTGCACCTGCACACTGAAAACATGCTGTGTCAATAGATAAAGCAACAAAATGGTCATGAAAATAGATGATGTGGTCAATATTAATAAAAGCTTTTATTGCCTAAGCATAAAAATAACCAGCATTTATTTGTGTTTTTTTCCAGGACTCTGTTTGTGTTCCATAAATCTCAGATGTACCCTCATCAAGTCCAAAAATCTCATTCTAAGGTACAGCATGTGTCACAAAACAACCCAGTGATTCATTTCTCCTGTGCTGATACTTTCTAAGCTTTCCATTTATGGAAAGTGTTTTGACAGAATGTTGTTTGCATTTGATATGTTGCTGTTAACTTAACTCTTGTCTGCAGGGCATCGTCGTGCCCAAAACTGCAACAGGTAGCAACTGCTCTGGATCATCGTCACACTCTCTCGCCACCGGATCCCTCTCTGTGACATCTGATGTTGCAAACCCAGAAGTACAAACATGCATACCTACAAAAACACACACAGGCATTATGAACAATTACTTAATTTGCTATGTGGAATTCTAGCTTACCTTGTACGTAGTACATCTTTGTAAAGTGTTAACACTCTCAAAGTCACAGTGTGTATGTGTTAGGTCAAACAGAGTTTTTGGTTAAGACTCTCTTCCTCTTCTCTCGTCTCTCTTTTTCTGCACCTACAGCATCTTTGTCCCCTGACTTGTCTTTCTCTGTCTTCCTCATTGGCTGAAGAAAGATTCTTCTGCTAAATTCCCCATCTTTGCCTCTCCTATGTAGGTGCCTCCACAAATGATTTGTTTGCACCCTTGGCTCCTTTCTATATCTTCTTATCTCCCCTTCTTTCCCTTTCTTTTCCCTTCCTCTATAATTTCCTCCAGATTCCCTTTTACTAATACTAAGTCACCTTTTATCCATCATCCCTCCCTGTAGTGTCTCTCTCCCCCTTCTCTCCCTCTCTCTCGTTATCTCTATCTCTGTTTTATATATATATATGTGTGTGTGTGTGTGTGTGTGTTTTCCACCAAGTGTCCAGAGGTGAGAGGCACTCACTACCTGTGTGTGGACAGCGTGCAACCTTCCCAGATCCTCATAAGCTTCTCAGTTCTGCTTCTCTGGGGAGTTACAGCTGAGGAGAGTAAGGATTTATCTACACTCGCACACACAAAGATAGAGATACTCAAATACATAAGGATTGTCTGATAGTCCAAGGAATATAAGGAGCTTGACTCAAGTCTTCAGAAGCGATCATAACTCTCTGAGTCTCAGTTTTCACAAATCATATCTACATCTTTACCTTATTCTGAAATTAAGTAATTACTGTAAATGTAAATATCAATAAAACCAATATGATTTATTTACATGACCTACTGTGTTTGTGACATTTGATTATAGTATGTGATCAATAACACATTTTCTCTTCCCACTGCAACACTGCTTAGAAAAGGAAATAGCAGCAGCTTGTAGCTCAGCAATTCTCATCGCCCAGCCTCACTCATGGAAGAGTGCACAGTCTCAGCTGCCTGTTCTCACCATCAAAACCACCTCATCTAAGGCAGCCATGCTTGACTTACCTCCAGGGTAGGACTCCATTGATTGTTTACTCTTCCATTCCAAATCTGTGATTTAGATTTTTTTTTTATCAAGATCCCCAATACCTACATGCTACAAGCCATTTTTATATTTGCGCAATTTAATATGAGTAAGTACTTCTTGTATCTTGGGTCTTGTAATTTTGCATCCTGATATGCAAATGCAGTGCTAATGAATATTCAGTATCTTATCTCATCAATATATCCAAACAAAATGTTATCCTTTCTTTTATTGCCACACTCAGCACCCTTGAGAACTTTCTTATGAAATAAGTGTAAAAGCATTTCACTGCTGCTGTGGACTTTGCAGCTCTGCACAGATCTAGTTAAAGCTATCACAAAGTTAGCAGAGGCGATCTGCCTGCCTCAGATGCTCTAAAAAGCAGTAAATGCATCTGTCCTAGTCTCTATTAATGGGTGCTACTTGGCCTAGAAGCGGAGGGCCTAGTTTCTGGGGTCAGGTGCAGGTATGCAGCAGTGCAATTACCACAGAGCCATAATCACACACATAGCACTCAACTTATGCCCATATGCCCCTTAGAACACTCTCAGAGAGATAATGGCTGATATGTCCATGCTGTTGGGGAGCAGTCATTTTGAAAACACCATCACACTTCATGTGCCTTTGTAAGCCCATCTGTATGTTTTGTCATTGTACTGTCGTTTCATGTTGAAGTGTTTTTTTGTCTTTGCGATAATCCCCTGTTCTTCCTTTATTCTCTCTTTTCTTCCTGTACTCTTCACCTTTTCTTTCTCTCTCTCATCCCTTTCCCCTTTGTGTGCCGTCCTTTTCTTCTACAGATGCTCTGCTTCAGTGCTCATCCATCTAGTTAGAAGTGCGATGGATGAATTATGTAAAGCTAATGGGGGCCAAGCAAGTGGGGTTTCATGTCTGTCCAGGCCTTGTGATCTGGGCTTGGCACTTGGCATGGAGGACATTCGGCTGCAGTTCCTCTGATTGTTTGACCCACTTACCATTACATGACAGAAAGTTCCATTATTTAGACTAGAAAGGGATAAGATTCTGTTTAGTAAGCATTTTTGATTTGAGCGTACTGTTACTGTCACCAAAGATTGAGGCGCAGGGTGGTGGGTAAAAGGATGCAAACATCTTAACACAAATTTTTAGTATTTTTAACAGCATAACACTTAAAGGTTCAGGGTGTAAGATTTAGCTGAAAGGGATCTGTTATCAGAAATTGAATATAAAATTATCCTAGTTGTTTTCACTAGTGTGTTCCATCTAAATTGTACAAATTATTATTTCTTTACCCGATAATAGGTCCTTTAGATTTAAATGCTTTATATTTATATCAGGAGAGGGTCCTCTCTACGGAGGCGGCCATGTTTTTTACAGTAGCCCAGACTGGACAAACTAAACTTAAACGGGTTCTCTTTCATTTTGGAAGGGAAGGGTGAAGTGAAGGGTATTCAGCTGCAACATGCAACTTCACCACTAGATGTCACTAAATTCTACACACTGAACCTTTGAACTACTGGTAGCCTTTGACAAAGAATTACAACTAGACTTCGATTTTCTTTAGAGGATAACCCACAGAGAAGGTTAGAAACAGTTTTTTGAGGAATTACTGTGAAGTGAAGCTAAATGACATGTGCGTTTGTTTTCAAAAAGCTCCATTTCCTCTCTGTCCCCTGTAGGCGTCATGTGTTGTCTTTCCACACTAAGGCAGCACTGGGCTACCATGTTCATCTGTGCAGCAAGACACCGTTCATCTTTGGGGATGAAGACACTGTGATGCCACATCTTACCAAGGTGACCAGGGCCTGTAGTCATGAGTTGACAGAGATAGTGATTCAATTAGAGACTGACGTCAAGAGGCAGTTTGTGTTCATGTAACTCTGAACAAATGAGTGGATGCAATTTTCATCTTAGAAGACCACCACAGTTAAAAGAAACATTCCATAATTTATATCTTGTTTTTTCGTGTCTAAGCACTCAAACCTTTTAAGATGTATATTTTGCTGTCTTAATCTGGGCATGTGTTAAACCAAGGAATTGCACAGATGTGTTTTCATAGATAAGATGTTGCAGCAAAAACAGAATACTGCTAAATCATTACATTGTGAAACACAGAGAACAGAAGAAACAAAACCAAAGAGACAAGACCACTCCTTCGCTTTCTTACATTTTGTCCCAGTATTTGTTTTCCTGAATGTATAATTGAGAAACAATAGATGTTATTTCAGATTTAAATTTGTGTTTATGTGGGGGCTTTTATCATCCAGCACATTTTACAGGCTTGTAGAAAATTTCCTTTAAACCTTCCTGATGTATTCCACCAGCGTAATTCAATGAAATATTCTGTTATTGTGGGCCTGCTGCTTTGCTCTTTCATTTAATTTGCATCCCATTTGATTTGTAGAAGTAAATAAAGATATAAAATAGATGCTTCACCACTGTCTTCCATCCTTACACAGGAAAGTGCTCGTTTTACAGAGCAGGCTTCGTACATCTTGCGAGCCCTGTCCAGAGTGGCGATGTCCTTCGGTGATGAGCACGAGCGGTCGGCTCTCAGAAGAACCCTAGAGGAGGCTCATCATCCGCAAAATATCAACACCCCCCTGGGAAAATGGGAGCACCTCAGGGTAGTTTGCTTATGTTGACTCACAGTTGTACATTTGATTTAGTGAAAAGCTCATATAACTTTATATCTTGGTAATTGATTGACATCTACAGTCTAGTTCCAAGTAGATAAATCACATCAAAATACAGCATTTACTATAGCATCAAAGTGTGTGTGTTTCAGGTGTTCAACTCTGCAGTTTACCACACGCTGTGTGAGGCTCTGGGCAGGAAGCTGGCTGCAGAGGAGCGGTTTGCTTTACTGGCCCTCACTGCTGACACTTCCCTCTTAAACCATGGGTGCAAAGAAGACTCCCCTGCAGGTGACACTTATATGTCATTTTTCTATCATTCCCCACTTGTAATGAATGTAAATGCGAAATGTATCATTTTATACAACAATTCAAAACTTTTAGAACATCACAAAGACATTTTCTTGAACTGAATCTCAAGTCTAAATTTGGTCTTTTTCTGAGCAATGTTGAAAGATTTGTCTGCTGGCAGGACCTCGCTTCACCGTCACTGGTCACCTGTCTTAATTGTGAATAGAGGGGTCTTCAGTCAGGTCACCCAGGGGCTTGTAAATCCCATTCTTTGTGTATTGTAATAAATGAATCAACTGAAGGGATTTTTTTGAAGTTAGAAATTAGAAAAACTGTAATTTTTTATCTTAACAGTAAGTTGAAATGATCTTAACACTTTTAAATATGATGTAAAACTTGGCTTTCATTGCATGCTGTTTCACAGCTGTCCTAATTATGTTTTTCCACTGTTGTATTGCTGTTAAGTAGATGCAGAGTCAAAGCCTCCAGAAAACTGGAGAGACAGGCAGCCCTCGAACAAGGAGGTCAAAGCAGTCACTGTTCTTCAAGCTGGTTTCAAAGGACACTTGGTGCGAGAAATCCTTAAAGCCTCAAAGCCTGGTAAACACACTCATAGAAAATATATGTATTTAACTATATGATCAGATTTAAATCTTATCTTTCATCTGAATAGTTTAAAAAAATGACCTTGGGTTACTTTGACTTTGTGATCTCATCTCTCACGTGCCTGATGTGTCGGTGTCACATCTGCGGCAGGTTAAATGAGCCAAATGACCGTAAAAATATGATAACAATGTCTGTTTTATGTGTAGATTATTATTAGCATAAGTATTATCTACAAAACACCTTCTGCTTCTTACATTCACTGTTTGATTTAGCCTGATGGAATTTATTGAGCCTCTGAGCAGAGGCACAAATATGTATTGATGAGACTGCCACTCTTACTAATACACCCTGACAGATGAGTGGTGGCCACAGAGGGGATACACACATGTAGGAAACGCACACACACACACACACACACACACACGTACACACAACATTCCTGCATCAACAGCCATATCTTTCAATAGTGACAGCAGGTGAAACATTAAGAAAAGGACACAAGACAACACTGGGCAGTCTGTAGGAAAGATTGAGAGAATAAATACAGGGACAGCAGCTTTTCCTCTCAATGTATCAGTCTTACTTTGAAATCATGTTTTCTTTTTGATTCTTGTACTGTTTTCATGGTGGTTATGTCAGATTGTTTCCTCTATTTCAGTTGAATCATTATTAAGAACCACTTTTATCAAGAGGGAGTGGTAAGGCTCTTGAAATTGCACTGCTGTTTGTTGATTCCAGAGGAGATGGTGGACGTCACACATTGCCCAGACATTGTCTATTTTTTGCTGGAGCTTAAAGCAAAGTACGCCTTCTCCAGGCACAACAGATGACACTGGCGCCCTCTGAATAACTCGCACATATGGAGCATTTGCATAAAACAGTGCTGTACTGTAGCATATATAGGCTTTTGCCTTATTTTTCATGGCTGAAAAATGTGGTTCAAAGATACCAGATATCCAAAATGTCCACATCCTTCAGAGCCCCTCTGCTTCTGTTGCTGGTTATGCAGCATTAGTAGGAGTGCACACACGCACAGGAGAAATAGCTTGAACAGACCTGTTATGGTTAAGTTCTCTCTACTTTTATTAATTTACTTGTCAGAGCACTTTGTACTTTCAGAGTGCCACTTACGGCAAAAACACCAATCATATTTGAAAAGCTCTGTCAGGCTTCACTTTTAGAAAGCTTTTGTTTAAAGGAAAGTGAGAACTAAACGTATTAATTTTGATGGCCAAATTCTTCACCATATTTTTTTATGCTCTCTGTGCACCATTGAATGATATAAACAAATCACTGTTCAACCAGCATCTCTGTATAACTTTTCTTCTCCTCACTATTCTAGACTGTTCCTCCTCCCCTCTTTTCTTTCTACCACTCTCCCTTCTGTCTGTTGCCTCTTTTGAGTTGCCATCTTGTGTCATCTTGTCATAAAAATGATAGCAGATCTCATCTCTCAAACACTAGCCTTGGCCATTCCAATGGCAGTGTCGATTTGGGAAAGTGGCCATTTGAAAGGAGAAAGCTGAGAGAGAGGAGGGAAGGTGTTTGAGAGAGGACGTGAGGACACCTATGCCACATGTCGGATGTGAAAACATCTATCTTTCAGCTGTGTCTTTACAGCGTTCCTCTCAGTTACATGCAAACACACACATGCACACCCATTTCACCAAAGCCTCGCTCCTGTCACGGTGGTTACATGTCTTTTGGGATGAGTGTGAAAGTTGCAGTCAAAGTGAGAATAATCCCCTTTCGCCTCTCACTGAGTTAGACAAAAAAGGGAAAGAGAATTTCCAACCTGGTTGAATAAATCTCAGTCCATCCAGGTGTAAATGACTTCCCTGAAGAAGGTCACCATAATCATTTTTCATGTATTTGACAGCAACATTGACTGTCTTTCATCTTTAATTGTTTGTGTGTGTGCTCATGTCATTCAGGCACAAAGGAGAACCTCGGTGCTGCAAAGATCCTTTCAGACATGTGGACGAAGGTTGAGTCAGATGTTGACAAACATGCAGCATTTTTGCTACGGTGAGTTAAACATACATATTGTGAAAATGCATGATTGACTCGACCGAATAAGAATATGTTGATTCTGGATGTTTATACGATGCACCTTATTAACCTCGCACATTATCACTCACACGTCATTATCTTAGAATATCCTTCAGAATCCTGTGCCAATGCTTTGTACATTGTATGGCATCAGTTTTGCCTCCCTGTTGCACCACATGCCCAGAATCTGCTCTCTCTCCTGGTTGTGGCGGCCTGTGGCGGCCAGGCAGGGAGCATTTTCCACATTGTGTTCCATCTTTTCCCAGTGGTACCATCTGCTGTTTATCCTCTCCTCGTTCCAATCGGCTAGCAGCGTCTGCTGAATGACCTGCTGCCTGGGGAAGTACTGTATGTGTGTGCACGAGCATTCCGAGCATAGTTAATGTCTGCACGGAGGGTAGGGTGGGGGTTTGTTGTGTGTTGTGAGCTTGACAGAAACTGACAGAAACATCCACTTCAGCCAAAGTTCATGCTGCGATGTGAAGTGCATACTACATATTCTCCTTCAATGTCGTCTTTTTTTTTTTTTTGAGAACTGGTTTTCATTCATAATCAGCCACATCAGAGTTATGTTTTCTCCAAAATGTTTGTGTAAATTATAGCAGAGATTTTGTTTTGGTCTTCTGTGTGGCTTTGGTACTTTATTTAAAATGTTTCTAAAAGTGCTCTCTCCTGTGTTTCTTGCACAGGTATATAATTGACCACCACTCTGAAGGGAACGCAAAGCTCTACCCGTGTCAGCAGGATGAATGGACCAAAATCACCTTTGCTGATTATTCTGTATCTCTTCAAGACACAGCCAACTCCTGGGTCTTGGTTTTCAGGTTAGAAAACATTGTAACTTAAAGGTTGAGGTTTGTCAGTGAAACATCTGGATGAATCCAGGTATAAATGACTTATGTCCACCTCTCAGCAAAGGTCATAACGTTTCCTTTGAGCCATGCACTCGGCTCTCATATATGCCGATAAAGCTAATATCAGGAAATATCTGTTTGTATAACATTGAGTTCCTGAACTTTAACAAAAACAGTCGGAAAGCAAAAATTGAATTTTATATCTTGTTGTTTACTTATTTTTCTTTCATGTGAAGAGAGGTTTTCCTAGTTCCTAAGGAGATGCTGCTGGTACCGAAGATCTACTCCCCGATCCCTAGTCTGCTGCACGTCATAAATAATGACACAGGAGAGGAACTGGACATGATCTTCAACAAACTAGCAACTCATGTGTATCAACCCAACAAGGTCAGTGGATGATATCAAGACTTGCTTTCATTTCTCTTTGTCTACCTGTCTTCCACAATCCCTCCGTAATAAGCATATTTTGACTTCATAATCATATTTGACTTTATAATCCCTCTGTATCTGTCATTCCAGCTTGGCTATACCTTCGTAGCAGAGGCTGTCACACCTGAATCGCCTGTTGTTGCTGCCAAGTGGAGGATGCGCCTGATCGGATCAAGGGAACCTCTCCCAAAACTGGCCCGGGAGGCTCCGCTCAACAATTTCTCAGTGAAGGAATTAGGGGATTATTACATTCCCAATGATGACAACCTCATATGTCGGTAAGAGAAATATCAGGTACATAGTTTATTGACAGGTTGAATACAACTCGTCATCGTAGGATCCGTACTTTTCAGTTTAAATTTGTTTTGCTGAATGTGTGTCATAAAAAATACAAATTACTTACACTACAGTATACGATATGAGATGTTTTATTATCTCACACATGGTGTAACAAGCAAAGAGAACATATCTTACTAAATTCTCCAGGGAGCTGTTGAAAAAGACCCATTTCCCAGCAACATCAAGACTAATGGTGCCCACAGTCATTTGAAATGTTTCCATAGTTACCTTGTGCAGGTGACAACAGACGTCCAAGGAACAATTCAGATTCAGACTTCCTCGCCAGATGTCTTGATACATCTTTCAATTCTGGACCAGGAGAAAGAGGTGGCCGGCAAAACTGGGAAAGGCCATGTGGTAATTCCTGTATTCTGCTTCCTGGCCGACAAAGGTGAGCAGTCACTCAAATCTAAATAACTGATGAATGAATCCCTTCATGGCAGAAGATTTTTCAGTCTGCTGCTGATCTGCATGTTGGAAAATCAAACGTATAGCCTCAATTTGAGAATCTTAGCTTCATAATTGACTCTTTCAAATAATAATGAACTTGCCTTTTGCTCTATTAGCCTAACGAACAGTAGACTACTGGCAGATAATAAAACTAAAACAATCAACAGCTCTTCAAAACCTGCCACTTAATCTAATTACAGCTTTTCTGTTGATTTCTCCAGTAGTCGTACGCCGGCACATTGCTGATCACTCCTGTCTGGTCTCACATATGGTCTTAGTTTATCTTCTCTCTTTCTGTTACACAGATGAGAAGAGCCAGGAGCAGAGTATAAGCCCCACCCAGGACAAGAGAGTCAAAGTGGTAGATGCTCCCCCACAAAATGCTGAGAAATCGGACTCCTCGCCTGACCAGCACCAGCCTCCCACAGAGACTATGGTATCACTGACAGCTGTCTGTGTGCTATCTGCTGTTAGTCAAACACTTCACTGATCTCTCTTTCTCATGCACACACACACACACACTCACACACATCTCACTCTCTCCCTCTCTTTCTCACCCACTTTCTTTCTCCCTGTGTTCATATCAATTTTTCACTCCAAGATACACATAACGCCTTTTTTGCAGGCATGCGCGTGCACACACTCACACACATGAACCTACTCACACCCACACACAGTTTCTCACACAAGACAAAATTTGCAAGAGTAGAGCAGGAAGACCGGAGGGGTGGTTTTGTTGTTACTGTCTACACTTGTCAGGGAGCAGTGATTTGTTCATGATTTATGAGTCACTCTATTGTCTGAAGGTCCTATATCTAACAGACCCGCTGTCATTTGTTTGTTTATTGTCAAAGTATATAGTAGGCACTAAAAAAGACACAACACGCTGGCTGCCCTGTTCACTTATGTAAAAACGTACTTAGGTTTTTTTTTCTCTTTGCTGTGATGACTGTCGTTGATACATGTGGAGAACAAGCTATTATTTTAATATTCCTTCAGCGACTGCTTTCACCTCATGAATAACCACAATTCATTTCATGTTACTCAAGTGAATTGAGCCTTTTTCTAACAGGTTTGGTTTCAGTAACACTTGCATGTGCTACAAATTCAGTCCTTTTTAAGGAAGATAAATGTTTCCTCTGAAGTAACACAACAATGTAGTGGCATCAATATTAATGAGACGGATCATGTCAGATCTCATAGATCAGCAGCAGGACAGAATAAACAGCCATCGATCAGGACTAAAACATTGATCAAGCAAAGGGTCAGTGATTAAAGCTCTGTTCCGCACCACAGGGACACACAGCAAACATATTGATGCTCAATAGTGATGGATCGAAGTCTCCTATGGACAAAGCTATAATAGCTATAATTGGCTGTTTTTTAGTTCATTAGTCTCTCTGCATTAGTTTGAGTCTCACCTTGGAATGCTGTCTGAATTCTGTCTTCTTTGCTCAGTGTGATGGATGTAGGAGTTACCACTCCTGATATAATCTTGGCTAACAAGCCCACTGCCTCCTCTCCCTTTGTGCCTAGCATGTGCTTCTGTCAACCAGGGCAGAGAACAGCAAACACAAAATGCGATGTTCTTCTTTAAGATCCCTGTGTCTCTCTCTGAATCATCAGCAGTTTGCAGCTGTATGTTCACAAAGAGTACGCATGTCATGTCGGCTTTCATCTGAACGTGTTGGATTCCATGTTTCTCATGCTGTTTATGTCTTTTTGATGTGTCTATGTTGTGTTTTAAATGTAATGAAGAAGTCGTCCATTGACTTTGCTTGTCTGTGTTTCACAGGGTCATAAGTATGTGGTGCAGGCTGAGGTGCTTCATAAGAGCTGGGATTTGGATGAAGCTCAGTCGGCTTTTGTCCATCTGCTTGGAGACTTGGAGAAGAATGAAATGAGAGGTACTAAGACAAATGCTACATCAACACCAAGTCACCGTAAACAATCATTAATCTTGATCTGAACATCAAAATTAAGTGTAAACATGGACCATAAATGGTTCAGACATTTCCATATATTTGTTATTATCCTTTTTTATTATTGCTTTCAGAATTTTCCAGCTTTTCAGCCCTAGGTTATGACTTCATTTTCTAATATGCCCTTCATGTTTCTTTTTTGCTCTGCTTATTTTTGTTTTCCATGTGAAATGTGGCAGATACTCAGTAGGCAGTGTCAGAGGCCAAGGCCGACGCTGTTTTTTTTCCTTTGCTTCCGCTAGCCAGGGATCTGTAATCACAAGCCTAATGAAAGCCAAATGAATACAACTGCTTTCGCAGATCAGAGTGGGATATCTTGTGCCGATTGGTTGTTGGCTGAGGCACTAATCCTGTCCTCTGCCACCAACTCTGCTGCTCTGCCTTTAATCACGCTGCACAAATTAGATCGATTGAAAAATCACGGCTTTGAAATCTGCAGAAGCTCCTTAAAAATTCTGAGGGGATGAATTAATTGCGTCGCGGGTGGAGGTTGATGTGAAAAAGGTGCTGCATGGGTGACAATTTGAATGATTGCCTGAAGAGAAAGCGCAGCCAGTCTTTTCCTTGCATTTTCTCTTCATAGATTTGTGAGCTTGTTAAGGTTGTGTGCGCAAATTGTACGTGTGTGTGCGTGCAAGCCAATGTCCACATGGGTCTTCTGTGGTTTTTTTCCAATGAGCTTGTGGAAGTGGGTCGATGGGAAGTCAAATGAAGTTGGCTCTTGCCCCCTGGTGCCCTGGGAAATATCTCAGCAGGAAAGTGAATTAATTTCACCCAGTTTAACTCTGTCTCAGTGGTGAGGCTGTGCCCTTGATCATGCTCTCTACATGCTACATGGATGCACACAATCACTACATGCCATGCCAAGCTTTGAAACCACTTTAACAAGCTGTTTAACAAGCTGCAGTCCAAACACTGTACTGCGCATGTTTTAAGCATGCACATATATGCATCTCTGCTTTAAACCCCAGTATACACCATTAAACCAGTCAGATGTCTGTAGGAGCTGTACATGCAGTTGTGGCAGTTGTTTTCATTCTCTTGTCGACCTACATGGTGTCAATAACTGTGGTTATAAGAGAGCACAGAGTTTTAGTAACCAAACTGCATGAAAATCAGTTTTCAATAAACCCATTAGTTTGAAATTAAAACTACACTCATTGATATTTAGACCCAATTTGAATGTTGAATTTCTGTATGACTTGAGATAAGAGTAACTCAATGAGCGTGCACCAAAGCTGTTGAGGCAGAATGACAGGGTATCAGCTAAATGATGGATTATTATGCCTTTCTGTATCAGAGAAGTGAGACTCAGAGTTGATGCTTCATCTGAGCTGAGGACTGTGCACTCATTTTCTGCTGTAAAGTACAACAGTGCCATCTAGCACACAAACAAACACACAACACATGCAGAGTTCTGCTCATGTTGAATAAACTGCTCAGGTTCTTTCTGAAGATGGTTCTGCATCAATGGATTTTTTTTTTTTACTATAATTACATCAAACGTATGGACATTTTCTCTAATTTTTCACAAATGTTTAGGTAAAAGTTATGTGCGTCTGCTCTAACACTTCAGAGTAAATTCTTTGAAAGCTTCTTTTACAATCGAATATTTATGATAATAGTGCTTTTACTTGTCGTATTTCACAGCATAATACCAGTAGTGAGGAGGGAAACAGCAGGTTTTGTAGATTACAATAGAAAAGTGAATTTACCTGATTCCTTTTTGCTAAATGTAGAGAACAAGGAGGACGTGAAGTGTTCACCCAGCACTGACACACCGAGCCAGGATGTGCACAAGTCTGGCACCTCTAAAACCAACTGCAAAGGCGAAGGGGACAAAGAGAAGGGGAAGCCAGCTGCCACTTCCAAGTCTGGCTCCAAGCAGGAAACGGTGAGACATCACTTCAGCACTGTGACGCATACAGCAACACGGCCAGCTATAAATTAGAAACAACGTTTAAAGATAGGTATTAGATAATAAATGTTCAGGTTTCATTAGTTTTATTGCATCAGGTGCACTTATAATCAATTATATTGCAGTGCTACATAATTAAGCGAGTGTTAAACGAGTTTCAGCGTGGGCAAATTCAACAGACAATATGCACTCAAAACATAATACTCTTAACATAAGTCCACATGTATTTTCCACAGTACTGTCATGTTTGGAAAAGGTACATTTGTAAAAACTTTATAACAACAATAACATTTTTAACCTTTTTCGAGTGCAGGATGTTGAGGCACTTTCAGTGGAGTAAATATTCATCACAAATTCCCATCCATACCGAAATAACAAGGTTGTTGTTGAACTAATTTTCGGACACCTCTGTTGTAATATTTATAATAATTTATTTTGTCTGGCAGGTCACTATTTACATATTTGCTCGACTCTGCTGTAAGTGAACTCTGAAATGTTAATAGGAGAAACTGACCTTATCAGACGCCTACAGCTGCCAAGACGACCTGCATGTATTTACACAGTGTAGGAGACAGTTGTTTTAGCATGCTCTATAATCTTGTGGCCTCTGATTCTCAGTGTAACGGTCTTGGTTTGATAATTGACTGATTCACATAATGGGTGCCTTTTATTCTCCACACTCTATATGTCAAACTCTAAACACAATGAGATCTGAAAGGCACATTTTCCGACTACTTTATAACTACCTTCAATACATGTCCATTATAAATATTTTTCCAGCACAACACTGCTGAAGGTAGAGGACATAATGGTTTCTGAATAAACAAAGTAAAAGTCTTTCTACTATTTACAAAAGAGACGAACAGGACCTATAATGTAATTCTTGGTCTGTCTGTCCGTGTGCCAGACTGTCTGAGCTGCTCGCTGAAAGAGACAAAATCATAATACATTGTGGAACAGTGACCTTCAGCTGGGACATTATTGTGTATCTGAGTATGTGCATTATGTATTTTGTCTGAGCTTTGTGGTGTCTGTGTGTATATATCCTTGTGCAGAGCCTTGACCTGACTAAGCCGCACTGGACGCTGCGTGTGGTCAGCGACAAGAGTAAAGCAGAGAGCATGGAGGTGAAGAAGGACACAGAGAGAGTGGACCAGATTCAATCCATTAAAAAGGCCTGGGAGATGGTCGAGCCAGGCCGCTGTGCCAAGGTAACATGGTGTTCGAAATGGAGATTGAATCTGACCCCTTAACTTTTTTATGATCTTTTTCTAATTTATTGGATCTCCTGTAGAAATGTGAAAAGTAAAATTTGGAAAAATATATTTAGATACTATTTTTATCCCTGAACTCTATAGTATCAGAATCCTTCACTGTCCTTTCAGGCTTTACAGTCACGTCTCCAATTTCTAAAACAAGTCCAACCTCAAGAAGAAGAAGAAGTCGGCAAAGAGCTTGGTACTAAACGTATACATATACTGTAAATGTACACGTATGTTTTAAGACACTCTGTGTTTTCATTTGTTTGACAATAAGCCCTTTAATAATGTGTTCTTTCACAGCTGCTCCCACATCTAGTCCTGACACCTCTCCATCCAATCAGAAGCTGACTAATACCTCCTCCGCCTTTACCCAAATGGACTACACACCCTTTATCAGGTGCTCTACAACTTTCTCACCTTCTTTACATCTATTTAACGACATGCTTTATTTAGACAGCACGAGTAGTAAGTTGGAAAAATGCTGAAAGCAAACCGAAGCCATTGTTAAATGACCACATGCCTATACATTGCAGAATTCTCAGTTTTACTTTGTTGCAGCACTATGGCTGCTTGGGTACTGTTCTATAACAGACCTCAGTTGAGCCTGGCACGCAGCAGCCGAACCAATGTGCCAAGAGAGCTGGCAAGAAGAATGATGGTCATTGGCACCGATTTCCTGTCTCAATTCTCCTTTCAACAAGTCTATTGGAACACTGAAGGATCTTTGTTTAATCACAGCCTTGTGCCTTGTACTTGATGAAACAACACCAAAAGATTGTTGCTGCGACTGCTCTTGTCTCTTTCTTATGTCTGTTCACTTTTTACAGACATGAAACAAAAGAATTATAGCCTTCAAATACATATATCTTTTATCTGTCATCTGTATCAACAGTGATTTTTTTTGTTGCGCAGCTATGGTCCCTTGCGTTCCTCTCTATAAACAGACCTCAGTTCCGCTTGTTCCAACAGACAAATTTGTTTCTGTGCTCAGAGGGCAGGGTTGGATAACAATATATAAGCAGCCAAGACAGACTCATCCTCTTGTATTTTTCCAAGGGGCAGTTTCTTTTTTTCTCTTGTTGAAGTCCTGTGGGGAATATGCAGTGTGCGGTCCAGTTGCCTAATGTAGTTTTTGAATCACTCTGCTTTTCTAACTTTCTGAGGCCGAATTAAGACTCCGCTGAAAGGCCTGACTCCACCAGACCTGGGGTTTCTTGTGTCCTTATGCATGTATTTAAATGTTCACCATCTCTATGTTGCCTTATCCCAATCAGTAGATTGGTTTCTGCTGTGGATGTAGTTAGGGATTTCCCGTGTCCGTAACCTTTGCTCCCAACAGTGCTGTGAACAGCAGTGTAACAAGACTATACACTTTCCCAGGCAAAGAGCAAAGACTCCAGAGGATGGTGATGTACTGTATCCGATGAATAGACCTGTAAACACAAGACAGGGGCTGTTGAGGAAAAAAAATATTTAGGTGTTCATCAAGCTAGAAACAATAAATAAATAAAAAATAGTGGACTGTCCACCATGATGTACTGCCGGATTGTCTGCCGGATCAAACTGTAACTTCTTTCCACATCATCTAAGCAATAGGAAGCAAATTAAGCATCTTGATTTGAATTATATCGATCAAGGAAGAAACAAATGACTCATGAATCTCTAAAAACAATATCACTACAACACCAACCGTACATCTCATCATATGTCAAATCATAAACAACTGTTACGCTTCACATTCTGTTGTCTGATGCTGTGTTTTCTCCGGAGCTGTTAGTGTTATCTGTGTTCTGCTTCATGCTGCCTAAATTCAGCTGCATCATCTCTAGCCCTGCAGCATTGCATTACAGTGACTCCACTATATAACTGGACCCCAATTAGTAACATCACTCAGAGCAACATTTTTATTAGACAGTTATCTAACAGTGGTCAAAAGATAATTCCTCCGCTTCTTGAACATGAATACATGATGAGTATCACAAGCACCTCTTTGAGTTTTTGGTTTGTGAAACATGTAAGTGTCAGCTTTTGACATTTTTCGGCGAGTGTTCAAAAGGGAAGAGTCTCCCTCCTCAGTTCCCCCTGAGTCTCCCATTACTCTCCCTCTGTCCGTCCCTCTCCATGATAAATTAGGTGATATTTGGGTCTTGTAATTAGAGAGCTATTTCAGGACCCCAATGAGCCTGTCGTTCCAATGAGATGTGCCCCTCACCCATCACCTCTCCACCCTCTCCTGGTGTGGGTTTGTGTGTGTTTTTGTCCACACGTGGGTCTGGGTGCAGCTGCTAATGGCTGTTTACGCTGTTACCTGCTATCCAAGCCGAGAGAGAGAGAGAGAGAGAGAGAGAGAGAGAGATCCCGAGGTGTAGTCTATTACAGGAGTCTAACTAGTCTGCAAAATAACTCTTGTCTCACAAAGACACACTGCAGGGCACGTGATACGTGCACACACACACACACACACTCAATCTTTACAGCATTAGCACACATGTTGTTACACACAGTGATAGAGTGGGAACATGACAGTGTTCATTACCCAAATGAACTCTCATCATCACCTCTAGTGGCCTCGCCTCTTGATTAAGGTCAGCTCAGGAAATGGGAAGAAACATTTAACACTGGTAATCTCCTGTTGACCTCTTGTGTGCGTGCGTGTGCGTGCGTGTGCGTGCGTGCGTGTGTGTGTTTAAACACGTTGACTGCCACACAATGTTTTTTCTCCATCTTTTGCTGCTCCTGTCTGTCTTGGCATGCACACACAAACAGAAATAAATTACATTTTAGTCAAACAGTCTTAACAGAGAAATACCCACATACAGTGTTTCTAATCAAATCCAAATAGATTTCACAGATATCAATCTAGATACACAACTTGGGATATGAGATAAGGCATGGGACTGTGTTTATCATTTCCTCTGCCCGTCTCTGCACTTATCTGCCACATTTCCATTTTTATTTGCTCTGCCTGTGTCAACATTGTCGCTTGTTCCATCTCAGAAAAAATAGTCTGTAAAATCTGCAACCTGGTGGAATTTGATAAGATGTACAATAGTTTGAGATGACAATTTAACTAATATCCCTTTCAGAATTTGATAAGCATATGCAATTGCATGACGCTATATCTTTTTTGAAAAGTCTTGAGCTTATCCAGCATTAACATTCTTGTAATAAATGATATAGAAAAGGTGTTAAAGACGTCATGGTATGAATATACTCATTGTTTTAAGTCCTTGTCTCTGATCGTAGACGCCAAAAAGAGTTTCCTGTGCTGATGGACACACGGATGGAGGAGATCCAGGAGAGGGAGCGCTTAGAAAAGATCCAGAGCTACCGTTTGGTTCGAGACAACGTGCTGGAGCACCAGAAACAGCAGGAGCTTAACAGGAAGGAGCTCATGAGACGCCAGCTGGAGATACATGAGAACATGCAGGTCAGTCACAGCAGAGAGAGAAGAATGTGAAATCGTAGATGTGGACAACACTAATGAGAATCTTGGTCCATCACAGTGGTAATGTCAGCTCTCTGTCCCGCTGGTAAGACATGACCCTGCACTGTCTTTCTCTTTGCCTCTCTGCCCTGTCTCCAGGCGGCCTTGTGGAAGCGCCATAACAACTTTCTCGACGCTTGCAAGGCATTTAGTAGCCGTCAGATGGCGGACGCGAAAAAGGAACAAGAGGTGAAACAAGCACTGGAGGAGGCCAAGCATGCAGTTCTAGAAAAAACAACCCCCACCTCTGCTGCCACTCAGCAGTCCGACAAATGTGCCAAGTCTGCTGGCAAGAAGAAATGATCGCCATTGGCACCAACTTCCTGTCTCAGTTCTCCTCTCAACAAGTCTGTTTGAACACTGAAAGATCTTGTTGATTATCTCTTTCTTATGTTTTCTCACTCTATAAAAACAAGGACTTATATATATATATATATATATATATATATCTCCTTCATCTGTCTTATATATCTTGCATCAACAGAGCCACTGTTAGCCTACAAACACAATCTTTGTATCTCCTGTAGAACATATTAAATATAATCAATTCTACATTACAAAATGGCTGTTATTGGCTGTGTGCAGACATGTAAACCCACTGAGAATGTCCAGCCATCTGATTGGTAAGGCATGACGTTGACTTGGATGCCCAGTTTGCCTGAATATATTCTGGGAGTCTTTTGTTGTCTTGAAGGTCACTGTATTGACTGCGCGACCCTGAGGCATGCTGGGTACAGCCACCCTCCCACAAGCTGAGTGGTACTGATTGATTGTCTGATTGATAGAAGCCCACAAGAGTCCATTTGTTGGAGACCGAGACAAAGGGATGAGTATGAAAATGCAGCATGGGCAGGTGACAGATCTCAAGGCTGAAGTCAATGTGTTTCAGAACAGATGGTTAGGTTGCTAATGTGCATGAAACTGTTGTTTTATAAATATAATCCGTTATGTTTTTAAAGAATGACATGGTCAAATAAGTGCTCTTTATCTAGCTCAATATGTGAAGTGCATCTTTCTGGTCGTCCTGCAGAGAGTCAGCTGAGCCGCTGAGGAATGGGAAGCCAAATTGGAAATGAAAAGGGAGATGGTGCCATCTAGTGGCTGTGGACATTTAATAAATTCTCATTACCACGCCTGCATTAGGTTGTTTTCAAGGTTGACAATAATGAATAGTTCAATTCTGAGCTGCTGCATGAAGAAAATGATCATTATGCTGTGTGTGTGCATGTGTTAGAGTTGGATGGGAGTGGAGATGCGTGTGTGTGTGTGTACAAGACGTCAGGATGAAAATAATTCTGTGTGGCTTGTATTTATGGGCATGTGCACAGTCATTCTGCAGCAGCAATCTGCTCTGCTCTACAGCTTTTGTTGCCTGTTGCTGACGACGCCCTTATTAAAATTCTTCTATGTGGGAAATTATTCCCTTTCGTTATGATGTTGGAGCCAAATTAGGAAAACACAGCATATGAATGAGATCTTAGTTCTGGACACACAAGTGAATTTGTCGACACGTGGTCTCGCATGCGTGCATTACTCAGTGTTTTCTCTGCTCATAAAAGTGTGTCACTGTGATGTGTATACCTCACACTGCGTTTTTATGTGTCCGCTCAGTCTGTCAGGCCTCATCTCGCGAGCCACTATTCCTGCCCCTGTAGCTGCATGACAGAGCTAATCCTGAAAGTCTTGTTCCTGGCAGAGAACGTTCCCGCTCCTCTCTGCACTGTTCCCTCTCAACCAATTCATTCCTCCATTCCCAGAATATCGGCTGGTATTTGCTGTACACGTAAACCCTCCTCTTCCTCCTCCTCTACCTCTTCCATCTCCAGTGTGAATGAGGTATAGTGGTTTGGTGTGAGTGTATTCTGTTGTTTGAGAGAGATCTCCCAACACTGTAATTGGCAGTGACGTGTGTGTATTAAACAGAGGCTGTTTGTTAATTGGCAGCTGTTTACTGGCGGTTTGATGCAAATGTGTTGTGAGCGACAGAAGAGCTCCGGTGTAACCTTGAAAACTACGGGACAGTCGGCGTAATTGCGCGCATTTGACTTTCCCACGCGTAATGAGAAAATATTTGATTCGTAAACGAACCCACATGGACGGATGATGGAACTAAGTGAAACAAGATACACATTCCTCACGCGGTGTCCAGACTGCGGTGGCTCTTTAATTCACTTTTCAATTTGGAGGCAATAATGCTTTAATCAACCATAGTGCTGTTACGTTTGTGAATGATGACAGGCCGTTCTCGCAGGAATTGCCCGTCTGTGATTTCTCTCTCATTTTCTCCACGTCTCGTGCTTCTATATACGACTTTCATTCAGTTATCTGGTGTGGCAGTGTCTGGAGTCAGAATGTCCTCCGTACATCTCTCCAGCATTAAGTGTCTGTATATGTAAGTAAGCTGATTAAAGTCTCATCAATTCTATTGCAGCAATTTAGAGCCAAAACATCTTGTGTAGTACAATCATCACCCAATCAGTTAAAGTATACAGGAAATCAATTGAGTCAACAAAAACATCTTCATTAATCTTTAAACTCTTGGATACTCAGGAGCTACAGATGCAAGAGAGATCTGGTTATTTGAAAGGAATTGTTAAACATTTTTGGAAATTGCTTATTTGCTTTTCTACCTAACGAAGATAAGACGCTTAATACCACTCTCGTTTCTTACATTAATATGAAGCCAGAGCAAGAAGAAGGTTCGGTTAGCTTAGCATAATGACTGAATAAAGAGACAGATGTCCTGACTCCAGGGGGTCACTCCAGGTATGCGTTAAACCAAAGAGATACCTGTGCTCATTTGACGCACAGATATCCATCCATCCATCATCTATACCCCCTATCTGTCGAGGGCTGCAGGGAGCTGGAGCTAATTCCTGCTGACATTTGGCGAGAGGCGGGGTTCACCCTGGAGAGGTCACCAGCTTGTCGCAGGGCGTGCATAAACATATCAGTGGGATTTTCCAATCTAACTCTTGGCAAGACGTTTCATGTAAGTTTGCATCTCTCAATTATAGGCCCAGTGATTTTCTTTCTAACAAAATTGTAGACTTATTTTACATTTAATCTATACATCTGTAATATGTGCAATGAGTATGCAGTGCCCTTCAAATCCTCAAGAGTCTTGTTTTCAGTTGCACTTTTTACTTGTTCATCTTCCTTTCTCTGCACAAACACATAAAAACACACAAACACGTGTTTTGATGACTTCAGAGGACGTTTCATTGACTAATTAACCTTAAACACATTTTCATTTCGAAATCCCCATATTGTCTCTGTTAATTTGAACCAATTTAGGTCCTCAAGAACATGGATAATACCTAGCCCCCTGTGCACACGTACTCTTCCGGTTGGCAGCAGAGGGATACAGTATCCTTTGGCTTATTGGCTCATCGTGCTGCAACATTGTCCCATTGTTGTTGCTCTCTCCCTGTGGGACACAACATCTCAGGGGGTCCGACATCAGAGCCTGCTATGCTGATAAGCGTCAGAAAAGCAAGTCTCCTTGAAAGTGAGAGTCTTGTACCGCCTTGGCTCAGACTCGGCTCAGACGACGAAGAGCGAACGGTGAAAGTCTTTATGGTTCCAGAACGATATGGCGCTGAAAGGGAAAAGGTAAGAGCTCACAGATTGACACCCAGGCTTAGCTGCAGTAATCCAAAACCCTGTATTACTTAATGTAATTCATACACACACACACACACACACACAAGAGGCTGGAGAGATCCCCTGGACTTACAGACACAGAAAATGCTGACCTGGTCGCAGCCTCTTTTCTTGGAACTCAACCATTTTTCTCCCTGGCCTCACCTTGCCTTGCTTCGGCCCAGTCACCAGCAGCACCACCACCTGGGGGAGGGGGGGTCAGTTGTGTAGGTGCAGAGGGAATAAGGTAAGTAAAACAGTTCATCACATTTAGGTGACAAGAGGCTCATGGAGTAATAAATCCCATATAAGAGTGTGTTCTAGTGTAACGTGTACAGATTAGCTTCTTACAGGCGTCTTCCTTATTTCCCAATGGGGCTAACTTATCAATGTCTGCAACATCCTCCCTCCACTATTAGATAAAACCTTGTTCAGATTGGTCTTTTTCTATTTGAAGGTCAAACTGAGTAAATATTTAAGAAGGGCAGAGGAGCCTCATATCTGGGAGGATTTGGAAAAACGGTCCATTGTCCAGCTTTTTGATTTGAGGGTTCACATACACATCAAAGTCTGTATTTGCATCTGAGTTGCCTTCTGGGATATTTTAGGCACAACTACATCCGCTGGCAGTTATACTAACTTCTACTGATATAAGGGGATGCTGTTGTGTTGAAAACTGCTCGTCAGTGGCTATTAAAGAGAAGTTATTGTGCTTGTCAGATGCAACTTCCTGTTGTGCCACAGTCTATCCAAAGTGTTACCTTCAAATGAATCGCTTTGGATGAGGTTTTCTGCCGTATGCAAATATCTGGTAATGTGTTCTTGGTGGTGTTTAGCACTAACCCTGCATCGTTTGATGTCCCTACTTTAAAGCTCTACCTCAGCTGATGTGTGTGGGTAAAAGATGGCCTATTAGATAGTACACTGAATGGGAGGATACACAATTTCCTTAAATAGCATCAGAGAGACTGCGGGAATCAAACCCCAAATGCCCTTTGTCAGAGGTGATCGCATTAATTCTGTGGTGCAGACTCAGTTTACACACAAGAGAGAGGGGGGGGGGGGGGGGTACCAATAAAACAGGAGTCTCAAGTTTCATCCCACTTTATTGAATTGAGCAGTCGCCTTTGAAAATCAAAGAGGATAATTGTGCAGCTTCATTTACCCTCAGAGAAAAGAAGTTTTACGTTGTTGGGAATCTGCTTTTCATCCTCATGAGCTGGATTTCACTCTACCCTCTGGTTATATTGTTTTTTTGTGTGTATGTTAAAGGTCCGCAACGTTAATAAGCCAAAGTTCCCTTCTCTTCTCCAGTCAATAGTCCGGACGATACTTTCTGGGGATCATGATGTCACGTGGCGTCTGCATATTGTTCGCTTAGCAGCTGGTCTTGGATGCCTGTTAACAAAGCAGGTAAAGAAATAATGAAATCTCTTGACCAATCAGAGCAGACTAGGCTTTTTTGGGAGGGGGGCCTTAAAGAGACAGGAGCTAAAGTCAAGCATTTGAGACGGAGACTTAAAAGAGGAGCTGCAGCGATGAATAGTGTGAGGAAAGTATTAAACCTTTTCAAGCGATAACCCAAATTAAAATTAAGAACCCGAATATGAGTATAATATAACTTCTTTAACACATAAGTTATTGAATCTTTTCTGACTGACTCCCCCTCTTTATGTGTGGGCAGAGAGATGACTCTCAATTCGCTGACACACACATGATTGTGGTAAACTGATCAGAGCTGAACCAACAGGGGGGAGCTGCACACGAGAGTCATCGATATCCTGTCCTGTGCTTAGCATTGATCGTTGCCATGGTAGATAACAGGACAGGAAACCTCTCTTTCTCTCTCTCGTACACACACACAGAGTTCTCGTTTTCCTCATATACTTCTGTGTATCAGGAAAAAAGTCTAGTGATACTTTCATAGACTATACTGGATTTCCCCTCTGCTCCTTGTGAGGACTGGGACTGACAGTATTTTTGGTCTCGACTCATTGAGGCAGTAACATTGGATCGAGGATCCTTCTTCTCTTGTCTGGTTGACTGGTTTAAGTAAACTTTTGGCTACAGCTTCTTTCGGAAAATCCGTCCTGCCAGAGGTCCTGAGTCACTGCGTAACATTGGCATCGCCCTTTTCTTCCAGTGTGTGTGTGTGTGTTTGTGTGTGTGTGTGTGTGTTGATGGTCAGCTTATCACCTTCACTGATTATTGGAAATGATAGAGTGGAGACATGCTATCACTGTGTATCACATCCATCCCTAGGGTTTGTCAGGAACAAACAACCTTGTGACCTTGACTGCCTGATAAAACATGGCAGAGACAGTTTTCTTTAACAGTCTCCGCTTCTCTTTTAAGAAATGAGGCGGGACGCCAGAATCATAAACTCCTGCTTGTATTAGACTGGAGCTTTTTGATTAGGAGCACTATGGACGTGATGACGGCTTTATGGTGTTTTCAATTTCTTCACCCCCGCCTTCTGATGTCTTTTATCATCCCATCCATATTTATAAGCCCCTCTGTAACCATCAGGGTTGTTGGTGTGTGTGTGTGGAGGGACATCTAAACATGTACCTTTGAGCTTTGTTACCTTCCTCATGCAACACATGTGTGTTTGACATTGAAACGATCCTCCTGTTTAACCAGGCGGAGACAATCAAGTGTTCCCTTAAGGGCAGTGGCTCATTAATTTACAATCCCCTTGGTTGTGTGTGTGTGTGTGTGTGTGTGTGTGTGTGTGTGTGTGTGTGTCTGTTTGTCTGTCTGTCTGTCTGTCTGTGAGTGTGTGTTATTGATACATTTCCTCTTTGCTCTTGAACTCTTTAGTGAGTGTGGAGTTCCTCTAACTTTTGTGAGTGTCTTTTAATCACAAGCCTCCAGCATTTTGTGTGTATGTGTGTGTGTTCGTTAGT